TTTCAACAAAAATTGAATATATGGGGTTCTTTGATATGCTTAATCTAACCGTGTATCAAGTTTTTGGATTTTGGGCCCCGTTTTTAAATTGGTCCACATTAAGGTCCAAAGGATCCAAAATTAAACTTTGTTTTATTTCATCAAAATTGAATTACAGGGGTTCTTTGATATGCCGAATCTAACCGTGTTTTTAGATTCTTAATTTTTGGTCCCGTTTTCCAATTGGTCTACATTAAGGTCCAAAGGGTCCAAAATTAAACTTAGTTTGATTTTAACAAAAATTGAATTCTTGGGGTTCTTTGATATGCTGAATCTAACCGCGTAATTAGATTCTTAATTTTTGGTCCCGTTTTCAAGTTGGTCTACAGTAAGGTCCAAAGGGTCCAAAAGTAAATTTAGTTTGATTTTATCAAAAATTGAATTCTTGGGGTTCTTTGATATGCTGAATCTAAACATGTATTTAGATTTTTGTCGAGCCTCCGACTTTTGTCGCAGAAAGCTCGACATAGGGATAGTGATCCGGCGGCGGCGGTGGCGGCGTTAGCTAACTTCATAAAAGCTTTATATTTTAGAAGGTGGAAGATCTGGATGCTTCATACTTTGTATATGGATGCCTCATGTTACGAAGTTTCCGTCAGTCACATGTCCAATGTCCTTGACCTCATTTTCATGGTTCAGTGACTACTTGAAAAAAAAGTTAAGTTTTTTGTAATGTTAAATTTTCTCTTATTATAAGTAATATGATAACTATATTTGGTATGTGCGTACCTTGCAAGGTCCTCATGCCCGTCAGACAGTTTTCACTTGACCTCGACCTCATTTTATGGATGAGTGAACAAGGTTAAGTTTTGGTGGTCAAGTCCATATCTCAGATACTATAAGCAATAGGTCTAGTATATTCGGTGTATGGAAGGACTGTTAGGTGTACATGTCAAACTGGCAGGTGTCATCTGACCTTGACCTCATATTCATGGTTCAGTGGTTATAGTTAATTTTTTGTGTTTTGGTCTGTTTTTTTTTATACTGTATGCAATAGGTCTACTATATTTGGTGTATGGAATGATTGAAAGGTGTACATGTCTAGCTGGCCGGTGTCATCTGACCTTGACCTCATTTTCATGGTTCAGTGGTCAAAGTTAAGTTTTTGAGTTTTGGTCTTTTTTTCTAATACTATATGTAATAGTTCAACTATATTTGGTGTATGGAAATATTTTATTATCTATTTGTCAGTCACGCAGGTTTTATTTGACCTTGACCTCATTTTCAAGGTTCATTGCTCAGTGTTAAGTTTTTGTGTTTTGGTCTGTTTTTCTTATACTGTATGCAATATAGGTCTACTATATTTGAAGTATGGAATGATTGTAAGGTGTACATGTCTAGCTGGCAGGTGTCATCTGACCTTGACCTTATTTTCATGGATCAGTGGTCAAAGTTAAGTTTTTGAGTTTTTGTCTTTTTTTCTAATACTATATGTAATAGTTCAACTATATTTGGTGTATGGAAATAATTTATGATCTATATGTCAGTCACGCAGGTTTTATTTGACCTCGACCTCATTTTCAAGGTTCATTGCTCAGTGTTAAGTTTTTGTGTTTTGGTCTGTTTTTCTTATACTGTATGCAATATAGGTCTACTATATTTGGTGTATGGAATGATTGTAAGGTGTACATGTCTAGCTGGCAGGTGTCATCTGACCTTGACCTCATTTGCATGGATCAGTGGTCAAGGTTAAGTTTTTGAGTTTTTGTCTTTTTTCTAATACTATATGCAATAGTTCAACTATATTTTGTGTATGGAAATATTTTATGATCTATATGTCAGTCAGGTATGTTTTATTTGACCTTGACCTCATTTTCAAGGTTCATTATTCAGTGTTAAGTTTTTGTGTTTTGGTCTGTTTTTCTTAAACCATAAACAATAGTTCAACTATATTTGTTGTATGGAAGAATTGTTAGCTGTACATGCCTGCCTAGCATGGTTCATCTGACCTTGACCTCATTTTCAGTTTCATTGGTCAATGTTTAGTTTACTTGGTTAATGTTAAGTTTATGTGACAGTTGTAATAAAGCTTTATATTTAGGACTATCAACATAATATAAATGATTAGTAAAGAAGGCGAGACATTTCAGCGTGTGCACTCTTGTTGATTATGGGCCCAGTTTTCAAGTTTGTCCAAATCGGGGTCCAAAATTAAACCTTTTTTGTTGTTTGATTTCAACAAAAATTTAATATATGGGTTTCTTTGATATGCTGAATCCAACCGTATATTAAGTTTTTTGATTTTGGGCCCCGTTTTTTAATTGGTCCACATTGAGGTCCAAAGAGTCCAAAATTAAACTTTGTTTGATTTCATCAAAAATTGAATAACAGGGGTTCTTTGATATGCCGAATCTAACCGTGTATTTAGATTCTTAATTTTTGTTTCCCCGTTTTCAAATTGGTCTACATTAAGGTCCAAAGGGTCCAAAATTAAACTTAGTTTGATTTTAACAAAAATTGAATTCTTGGGGTTCTTTGATATGCTGGATCTAAACATGTATTTAGATTTTTTAATAAGGGCCCAGTTTTCAAGTTGGTCCAAATCGGTGTGTAAAATTAAACTTTGTTTGATTTCAACAAAAATTGAACATGTTGAATATATGGGGTTCTTTGATATGCTGAATCTAACCATGTATTTTGATTTTTGGGCCCAGTTATCGAATTGGCCCACATTGAGGTAAAAAGGGTCCAAAATTAAACTATGTTTGATTTCATCAAAAATTGAATTCTTGGGGTTCTTTGATATGCTGAATCAAACAATGTATATACATTTTGGATATTGGACCATAATAGGTAAATGTCCAATTTAAAAAATTTTACGTTCTTAGACCACATTCATTCTGTGTCAGAAACCTATTATGTGTCAAATATTTAATCACAATCCAAATTCAGAGCTGTATCAAGCTTGAATGTTGTGTCCATACTTGCCCAAACTGTTCAGGGTTCGACCTCTGCGGTCGTATCAAGCTGCGCCCTGCGGAGCATTTTATTTAAAAGAAAAGTTCTGCTAATCACAAGATTAAAGGAGATGTTGGGTATTAGTTATTAGTTGCAAACGATCAACCAAACGATTGTCTCTGGTATATTCAGTCTTTTTGCAGGCATCAACATCCTGCATGTAATCTTAAAATTGTATCGTTTTCTTCTTAAAAAAGTGATTGATAAAAGCAGTGATTGAACTGTTACTATTCAATCATTCATCGCCTATGGTTACCTGGTAATATCCTCAAAACTATCCATCCAATGCTCAAAAATAAGAACAGTTAGTAAATAAGATATGACAGTAAAATATTCCTCTCTATAATTTCCCAACATTAAAAGAAAACCGAAGTTTAGTTTATTTCATAATCTGATCTTAGCTGGTATATTGAAACACATCATATTCATTGGCCTATGGTAGACATGTTAAGTCAAATATTTAGTTTATTAACAACTTAATGAGCACACTGATCATAATATCATATTAATTTTTTGTTAAGTCTTATCTTTTAACTGAATATCCAAATTAACTTACAACTATAGGACAAGGACATATTATGACACATCATATATAAATATCATGGGTGAAGTCTTCAACAGAAACCATTAAAAAAATCACTTCTTTTTGTGACCATATGAAATCATTTTTAATATCTTTAAAACAACAGGAGTAATTTACCTTGTAGACTTGCTTCTTTATTATTTTGGCCGGCGAGAAAGGTATTGTTGTCAGTATTGTAATGATGTCCTATATCCCCAAATATGTCATTCCACGTGTTAAGAGGAACAACAGTACACACTGCTTTACTTATCATGATCGATTTTATGTAGAAAGTCATTCAGATGAAGGTTTTATTACCAATGGCAAATAAAATTAATTTTATCGATCATCCATGTTTATGAAGACAAGGTCAAGATGAACCCTGCCAGAGAGACGTCACATGTATACCCTATAATAATTCCATACATCAGACACAGCTAACCTATCATTCATTGTATCTGAAAAACAGACCAAAACACAAAACATTGATCAATGAACCATGAAAATAAGTTCAAGGTAAAATGAAACCTGCCATTTTGAAATATACACCTTACAATCATTCCATATACCAAATATAGTTGACCTAGTGCTTACAGTATCTGAGAAACAGACCTTATCACGTAAATTTTGACTTTGATCATTAATAAACGAAATGAGGTCGATGTCATATGAATCCTGTCTGTCGGACATGAAGACCCTGCAAGGATCCCATATACCAAATCAAATCATCCTATTACTCATAAGTGATAAATTCAAATGACAAAAACCATAAAATGTTGTTTTTTCAAACCAGTGACTAAACCATGAAAATAAGGTCAAGAACAAAGGACATATGACAAATGGAAACTTCATAACATAGGGCATCTGTATAGGTAAGAACTGTACACATTAAAGAGCACATAAGGCAATTTTCCATATGAATAATATTTTCAAGGGGCATAACTCTTCTATAAATTATTGATCAGCATTGGTTTTCAAATTCGCCAAGACATTGTTGATATAAACCTATGATAAAAGCTTCATAAAAATCTGGCAAGAATTATACATGTGAGAGCGCTAACAAGACCGGACCGACAGAAGGACGCCCATTATTTCCATGTCCCCTGCAACGCATTACGCAGGTGACAAAAAGGGATATATCTGTTACTATGAATGTTCTGTTTGATGAGATAAATTTCACTTGTATATTTAGAAAATTCTTAATCATTTGCTGAGAACATAACTAAATATATGCTTGTATTGTAAAAAGTATCTATGTGTTTTTTTTTATGTCTATATGAAGCTTTGCTATAATTGTCCAAAATCGTCGTACTATGATAAGTTATTTCAGTGAGATATGTGACCTAAAACCTTTTTCAGGGAAATGAAAAAAAAAATGGTTTTGGTAAATTTAGTAATGACACAGAATCATTACAGACACTTGAAGTAAATAAGATAAATATCAAAATTTCTACTGAATTTATAAAACATACAAATATATAATTGTAAATTTATTATAAAATTTTTCCATTTTATGTATACAATTTTGAACAAGATGTAAAATAATGATAATGATAAATAAAATAAAATATATAATAAAACTAAAACAAAACTAAGTATTTGACAGAACTTTTGTGTATCTTAAAACTTCATACAAAATCTTGGTAGTGCACATTATATTCATTTCAAGAACATATTTAATAAATAATTCTAGTACTGAAAAGGAGACAACTCTTAGAAATTATCTCCCTTTAATCAGGTTGCCTTTACATGTGTTTTATAAAGTACAACATCATACAAAAGTACACATTATATTATTCTTTAACTAGAGGCTCCAAGGAGCCTGTGTCGCTCACCTGATATTTTTATTTACAATTGATGCATGAAATAATGCAACCGTTATACATTTGCTTTAGTTTCAGAGATATAAGTCAAAAACTGCATTTTCCCCCTAAGTTCTATTTTTAGCCATTTCTGACATGTAGGTTGGCAGGCGGGGTCATCGGACACATTTTTAAAACTAGATACCCTAGTGATGATTGTGGCCAAGTTTGGTTAAATTTAGCGGAGTAGTTTAGGAGAGAAGATTTTTGTAAAAGATTACAAAAATTAACAAAAAATTGTTAAAAATTGACTATAAAGGGCAATAACTCCTGAAGAGGTCAATTGACCATTTTGGTCATGGTGACTTATTTGTAGATCTTACTTTGCTGAACATTATTGCTGTATACAGTTTATCTCTTACCTATAAAAATATTCAAGATAATAACCAATAAAATGCTTCGCTGGGCGCAGCTTGATACGACCGCAGAGGTCGAACCCTGAACAGTTGGGGCAAGTATGGACACAACATTCAAGCTTGATACAGCTCTGAATTTGGATTGTGATTAAATATTTGACACAGCATAGGTTTCTGACACAGAAAGAATGTGGTCTAAGAACTTCAATTTTTTTAATTTACCTATTATGGTCCAATGTCCAAAATCAAAATACATGGTTAGATTCAGCATATCAAAGAACCCCATATATTCAATTTTTGTTGAAATCAAACAAAGTTTAATTTTGGACCCCAACTTGGACAAACTTGAAAACTGGTCCCATAATCAAAAATCTAAACACATGTTTAGATTCAGCATATCAAAGTACCCCAAGAATTCAATTTTTGTTAAAATCAAACTAAGTTTAATTTTGGACCCTTTGGACCTTAATGTAGACCAATTTAAAAAACGGGACCCAAAATTAAAAATCTAAAACACGGTTAGATTTGGCATATCAAAGAACCCCAATAATTCAATTTTTGATGAAATCAAACAAAGTTTAATTTTGGACCCTTTTGACCACAATATGAACCAATTTGATAGCGGGCCTACAAAATAAAAAATCTAAATACATGGTAAGATTCAGCATATCAAAGAACCCTATATATTCAATTTTTGTTGAAATCAAACAAAGTTTAATTTTGGACCCCAATTTGGACCAACTTGAAAACTGGGCCAAAAATCTAAAATCTAAATACATGTTTAGATTCAGCATATCAAAGAACCCCATATATTCAATTTTTGTTGAAATCAAACAAAGTTTAATTTTGGACCCCAACTTGGACCAACTTGAAAACTGGTCCCATAATCAAAAATCTAAACACATGTTTAGATTCAGCATATCAAAGAACCCCAAAAATTCAATTTTTGTTCAAATCAAACTAAGTTTAATTTTGGACCCTTTGGACCTTAATGTAGACCAATTTAAAAAACGGGACCCAAAATTAAAAATCTATATACACGGTTAGATTTGGCATATCAAAGAACCCCAATAATTAAATTTTTGATGAAATCAAACAAAGTTTAATTTTGGACCCTTTTGACCTCAATATGAACCAATTTGATAGCGGGCCCACAAATAAAAAATCTAAATACATGGTAAGATTCAGCATATCAAAGAACCCCATATATTCAATTTTTGTTGAAATCAAACAAAGTTTAATTTTGGACCCCAATTTGGACCAACTTGAAAACTGGGCCAAAAATCTAAAATCTAAATACATGTTTAGATTCAGCATATCAATGAACCCCTATATTCAATTTTTGTTGAAATCAAACAAAGTTTAATTTTGGACCCCAACTTGGACCAACTTGAAAACTGGGCCCATAATCAAAATTCTAAACACATGTTTAGATTCAGCATATCAAAGAACCCCAAGAATCCAATTTTTGTTAAAATCAAACTAAGTTTAATTTTGGACCCTTTGGACCTTAATGTAGACCAATTTAAAAACGGGACCCAAAATAAAAAATCTAAATACACGGTTAGATTTGGCATATCAAAGAACCCCAATAATTCAATTTTTGATGAAATCAAACAAATTTTAATTTTGGACCCTTTTGACCTCAATATGAACCAATTTGATAGCGGGTCCACAAATAAAAAATCTAAATACATGGTTAGATTCAGCATATCAAAGAACCCCAAGAATTTAATTTTTGATGAAATCAAACAAAGTTTAATTTTGGACCCTTTGGACCTCAATGTGGACAAAGTTGATAACGGGGCCCAAAAATCAAAAATCTAAATACATGGTTAGATTCAGCATATCAAAGAACCCCATATATTCAATTTTTGTTGAAATCAAACAAAGTTTAATTTTGGACCCTGATTTGGACCAACTTGAAAACTGGGCCCATAATCAAAAATCTAAATACATGTTTAGATTCAGCATATCAAAGAACCCTAAAAATTCAATTTTTGTTAAAATCAAACTAAGTTTAATTTTGGACCCTTTTGACCTTAATGTAGACCAATTTGAAAACGGAACCAAAAATTAAGAATCTAAATACACGGTTAGATTCGGCATATCAAAGAACCCCAATAATTCAATTTTTGATGAAATCAAACAAAGTTAAATTTTGGACCCTTTGGACCTCAATGTGGACCAATTTAAAAACGGGGCCCAAAATCCAAAAACTTAATACACGGTTAGATTCAGCATATTAAAGAACCCCAAGAATTCAAGAATAAAACCCCATTGAAATTGATCAAGAAATAAGCAATTTATAGGAAGTATCTTCTTTTTGCACAATACTGTGCAATTGAATATTTCTTGCTATTGTGCAATACTGTACAATTGACAATTTCTTGCTATTGCGCAATATTGTGCTATTGGATATTTCTTGCTATTGCGCAATACTGTGCAATTGAAGATTTCTTGCTATTGTGCAATACTGTGCAATTGAAGATTTCTTGCAATTGTGCAATACTGTGCAATTGAAAATTTCTTGCTATTGCACAATACTTATTATATAATAATTTACACATCCTGTTTGGTGTGTATCTCCTACCATATCATTATCATTTGCTTTTAAATATTAATCAGAAATAACCAACTTAAAATGGAAAATTTTAAAAGAAAAAAAAAAGGAAAAAAAGAAAAAAAAAGAAAGAAAAAAAATCCCCCCCCCCAAATTTTTTGAACCCCCTTATGATTCATCACCCCCAAACTCAATCCCAGCCTTCCCTTTGTGGTATGGTACCTTGCAGTACAATTTCAGAGAGATCCATACACTTGAACACAAGTTATTGTCTGGAAACTAGAAAAATGCTTATTTTTGGCCCCTTTTTGGCCCCCAATTCCTAAACGTTTCAGGCAATTACCCCCAAACTCAATTCCAGCTTTCCCTTTGTGATATGGAACCTTGTAGTACAATTTCAGAAATATCCAAACACTTACACACAAGTTATTGTCATGAAACTAGAAAAACGCTTGTTTTTTGCCCCTTTTTTGGCCCCTAATTCCTAAAATTTTGAGGCAATTACCCCCAAAATCAATTACAGCCTTCCCTTTGTGATATGGAACCTTGTGGTACAATGTCACAAGTTATTGTCTGGAAGTTACAAAAATGCTTATTTTTGGCCCCTTTTTGGCCCCTAATTCCTTAACTGTTGGTACCATAACCCCCAAAATCAATCCCAACCTTCCTTTCGTGGTATTGAACCTTATGGTAAAATTTCATGGAGATCCATTCACTTAAACTAAAGTTAGAGTGCGAAAACCAATGTGTCTTCGGACGACGCCGGACGACGCCAGACGACGCCGACGACGACGACGCCGACGCCGACGCCAACGTCATACCAATATACGACCAAAAAATTATCAATTTTTGCGGTCGTATAAAAACTGCAAAATTTCCTTAAAATTACTAATTTCAGGTGCAGCAACCCAACAACAGGTTGTCTGATTCATCTGAAAATTTCAGGGCAGATAGATCTTAACCTGATGAACATTTTTACCCCATGACAGATTTGCTCTAAATTTTACCCCTATGTTGTATTTTTAGCCATGTCGGCCATCCTGGTTGGCAGGCGGGGTCATCGGACACATTTTTTAAACTAGATACCCTAGTGATGATTGTGGCCAAGTTTGGTTAAATTAGGCCCAGTAGTTTCAGAGGAGAAGATTTATGTAAAAGTTAACAGACGACGGACGCCAAGTGATGAGAAAAGCTCACTTGGCTCTTTGGGCCAGGTGAGCTAAAAAGGTATTTAAAAATAAAATCTGGTACTTCCAAATGGTAAACAAAGTAAACACCTCTTAATGACAATGTTCTAGAGGAAATAAAGGGGAGACAACTGATAAGGGAGGCAGTCACATAATCAGAATTACCTATATAGATGCTTTTCTAAAGAATTTAAAAGTGTAACACAAATTGGTGATGGATCCTCATTCAAAAAGCATCAACCAAACGCAATAAGTTTTTTTATTTGATTAAATACTCTTGGATACAACTTATAAAAAAGATTTTGTAACTTTCATAAGATTTTGCAAAAAAAAAGTGAATAGAATGAAAAAAGACCCATATTCAATATACATTGTTAAGAAAAATGAATGTCAAGTCAAAGAAATCTCACAGTATTATGTTCTTGCAAATACAAATCCTGGTCAGTTTGTTACAAGACTAGATAAAATACTATTTGCTGTTGAAATCAACATTCATAAGCCAAAAATATCTATGTTTAAGTTAAAAGTAGAAGGTAGCTGTTAAAAATAAAACTGATCAGGGGAAAATTTTCATAGATTAAAGTGAAAAGTAGCATGTATCAATCAGCATATACTGAGTAATTTCACGTCAAAAGATAACAATATCAAATGTTTGTTTTTCACAATTACATTTAATGAGGTATGTGAACAGTTATAAAACACAATTTTAGGGGAACACAAAACAACACATGTGACAAATAGAATGCACCACATCGTTAAATTGTGTAGACATTTTATAATTGATGCTTTTACAACCAAAACATCTGCATAATTCCTAACAAGAAGTCGCATAGACATCGCTTAATAATTAACAAAAACATTTTAGAAATTGATATAAATTCAGAACATTCTAATATATTTTTTTCTTTTTGAAACAACAGATCATAACAAATTGATCCACTATAGTTAAATGATAAAAAATGCCAATAATAGAAAGTTTTTTCTAAGATACCACTGAGTTAAATCTCTTGAAAATATTAAGGACGGAATCTTGATACAAATTTCTAATGAATAATCCTACAAAAAAGCTAATGCTATGACACTGCTGCACTGACAGGTATTACAACTCCTTGCTTTTGGAGTAATTTTAAAACGTCTAATATGGAATCTAATTCTGTTCTAAATCTTTGGATTTCGCTGTTTTTAGAATCTACAATTCCTTTCCATTTTTTAACTTCCTGGTCCATTTCCACTGAAGCTGTTTGTTTGGCATTTTTTATAATTTGTTGCAGTTCAAGTTCACGTGTTTCACGTTTTTTTTCCATTTGAATTATCTTCTGCTGAATTGATTCAAAATGTTTCATTTCCTAAAACCAAAAAAAAATGTATTACATAAGCAAGGCAAAACACATAGGCAAGGCACTCCTAGTCAACATACATATAGGCTAGGCACTTCTAGTCAACATACATATAAACAAGGCACTCCTAGTCAACATACATATAGGCAAGGCACTTCTAGTAAACATACATATAAACAAGGCACTCCTAGTCAACATACATATAGACAAGGCACTCCTAGTCAACATACATATAGGCAAGGCACTTCTAGTCAACATACATATAAACAAGGCACTCCTAGTCAACATACATACAGGCAAAGGCACTCCTAGCCAACATACATGTAGACAAGGCACTCCTAGCCAACATACATATAGACAAGGCACTCCTAGTCAACATAAATACAGGCAAAGGCACTCCTAGTCAACATACATATAGGCTAGGCACTCCTAGTCGTCAACATACACATAGACAAGGCACTCCTAGTCAACATACATATAGACAAGGCACTCCTAGTCAACATACATACAGGCAAGGCGCTCCTAGTCAACATATATATAGATCAGGCACTCCTAGTCAACATACATATAGGCCAGGCACTCCTAGTCAACATACATATAGACAAGGCACTCCTAGCCAACATACATATAGACAAGGCACTCCTAGTCAACATAAATACAGGCAAAGGCACTCCTAGTCAACATACATTTAGGCCAGGCACTCCTAGTTAACATACATATAGGCCAGGCACTCTTAGTCAACATACATATAGACAAGGCACTCCTAGTCAACATACATATAAACAAGGCACTCCTAGTCAACATACATATAGACAAGGCACTCCTAGTCAACATACATATAGGCCAGGCACTCCTTGTCAACATACATATACACAAGGCACTCCTAGCCAACATACATATAGACAAGGCACTCCTAGTCAACATAAATACAGGCAAAGGCACTCCTAGTCAACATACATACAAACCAGGCACTCCTAGTCAACATACATATAGGCCAGGCACTCCTAGTCAACATACATGTAGACAAGGCACTCCTAGCCAACATACATATATATATATAGACAAGGCACTCCTAGTCAACATACACATAGACAAGGCACTCCAAGTAAATATACATATAGACAAGGCACTCCTAGTCAACATACATATAGACAAGGCACTCCTAGTCAATATACATATAGACAAGGCACTCCTAGTCAATATACATACAGGCAAGGCACTTCTCGTCAACAATCTTTTTAACAGTAAAGGGCATACAATACAGAAGCAATCTTACATTAATTTTTCCTAGAAATATTTATATCTCATAAATGAAAAATTTTGTCTGTCCAAAGTGCTTTGCTTGATTTACCTTCATTAGAGACACTCAAACCTTAATATTTGAAAGCCAGGGATGTATAAATACGTAGAAACATTTAAAGTAAAGTTTGATAAGTGCTCTTGAAATTAACCTCAAAATATGCCTTCCTAAATTACTATTACTATTCAAGTTACGTCAGTTTGATATAAGTATGTTCGAATTAGGAAACATACAAATAAAAAAATTTCTTATTCACTATTTTCATTTTAAGCAATTAAAGAGAAATTTCCTGATGAAGGGTTTTTCTTATAAAGTACTTACTGGAGTGTGGAATTTCTTTGCCTCATGTAATTCGTCTTTCAGTTTGTCAATTTGGTTTTCTAAACTGGCATTCTGTATACGAAGGATAGAGAGTTGTTCTGAATCTAAATGCGATTTATTTAGCTGCTCTTTTAGATGTTTTATCATCACCTGAAAAAAAAAGATATTGTCATTTATTTTAATAATTTACTGGTTTTTTTTTTATCGAATGTACAAGCCATGACCACAGAAAACGTTAAAAGACAAATTTTATATAATTAAACATTAAAGGAGGTAGTATGATGACAGTCATTATTTGGACCCTGAAATTTCAAAAATAGTAAAACTATGCAAATCATTTCAAAGTTTTGTCAATCTTATTGATCAACGGTTGTTTGTTGTTAACTTTATGTCCAGTGGCAAATAATTCAGACCAGATCAAATAAATAATAAATACAATAGGTAAGTTCTGTAAGGATGGGGTGGACAGAAGGGCTGGACATTTAGCAAAAAGTTGGGTAGAGACAGAAATTTTCCTAGTAACAAGTCATATATTAACCCTCAAGGAAATTGCTAGTATTCTTTAATGTGGAAAGAGCATGGAACTCTATCCAGGCAACAGATTTAAGGTCATCGTTTTGACTGAATGTGGCTGCAAATTCATACATCGGCAATGGTTTGAACAAAGGGTAGAGGAAGACAAGGTGATCATAATTCTGTACCCCAGTCACTTATTGGCTTATTGATCAATAAACATATTAAAATTCTGGACTTCTAAGTGCATAAAGGTCACTTTGATTGTTGTGTATAAAATCAACATATTTGATGAAAAGTGACAATTTTACACATAGTTTTTTAGACAAAATAGACATGAGCAAAGAGCTTATCCAAAAAGGTATTTTTCATACATTAACAACCTTGCATCAAAAAATGTTTTGTAGGAAAATTGTCCTTTGGGGGTATTCAAAGCTTTGGTTTATATCTAAATAATGATAAGGTCTTAAATGAGATCTTTTGGCAATTTTTGCAATTATGTGCTAAATGCAAAAAGTCTGAAGTTCTAATGAAATTTTGTAAGATAAACTTAAAACTATAACTACTAATATCTGACAGACTGATGTCTTATGATCATCTGATAGATTTTATTTTGTAGATGTGGCCTTTGATATCATACCTTATATCAAGGCTTCAAAAATGGTCATATATTCCGGACATTTGTATAATGTCCGGTAAAAGTCCGGCTGGGCAAAGCATGAAACGGACATCTACTTTTTAGTTTTCAAGGCTTTCTAAGGAGACGGTCATTTTAACATAATTCGCGATCTTTATGACCCAACCTTTTGCCTTTAACAGCCACACATTTCCGGTCATAAAAGTGACATGATCATTAAGTACTATCAAAACAACCCCTACTTTAATACCTTCTCATTTTAATCAAGGCTAATTAGTTGTCGAACAGCTGAAATTTACCTGTTCAGGTGACAGGTAAACTATTTTGAACTGGACATTGATCGGTCTATTCAAAGTTATTTTCTTACATTTCAGCGGTTTGCATCTAATTAATTTAGTCAAAAAGATTTTAATTATCAGAAATACGTTTACAAATATGATTTGATGAAAAAATTAAAAAGGTGAAAATGAAAAATCGTCATAACCACGTTGTTTGAACCAGAGACATGTTTGAACTAGTACACGTGTGCGCATGTGCGCAGGTGTGAAATTTAATTATGCAGCCTAATTTCTTCAAAAAATACTTAAATTGTCATTGATGCCTTTATCTCACGTTTATTTCGAATATTTTCTTGAAGAAATAACGTAGAAAGAGCTACTTACACTCGTTCATGCTTTGCAAACGTACACGGAATTTACGTATCTGTCTCTGGTCCATGTTTTACCATTGTCAAGATAACATCCGGTTTAAAAACGAAAGTAAAGTTTTTGACAACGTTATTTTGCCAAATTAAGTCTAAGGCAGATATAAGTACGCTGATCTTGCACACTCGAATGATGCACTGCCAATTTAACAGTTTACGTCAGAACTTCGAATTTGAATCAAAGGAAGTTTAATATCGTTTTTTTTAATGTCAATCATTGGGATGTCCAACTCGGCAACTGATTACCATAATTGCCTTTTGTTTATTTAGTCTTAAGGGATTAAAATCGGGATAATATATAAAATGTCCGGCTGGCTAAAAATAATTTTGGAAGCCCTGCCTTATATGTTAGTCAAAGTTTTTTCAGCGCTTTGAAAATACTAAAAAGTCTTAAATTCTTACCTGTTCAGGATTTATTTCTAACTGTTACTCTCCTGAAGTCATCAGATGAGCATTAGCTTTTGACACTTAACAATAACTCTGCTGAAGTATTACCTGTTGAGCATCTGTTTTTTGACTATAACTCTGTTGAAGCCTTACCAGTTGAGCATCTGTTTTATACAGTAACTCTATTGAAGCCTTACATGTTGAGCATCTGTTTTTGACTGTAACTCTGCTGAAGACTTACCTGTTGAGCATCTGTTTTTGACTGTAACTCTGTTGAAGCCTTACCTAATGAGCATCTGTTTTTGGCTACAACTCTGTTGAAGTCTTACCTGTTGAGCATCTGTTTTTGACTGTAACTCTGTTGAAGCCTTACCTGTTGAGCATCTGTTTTTGACTATAACTCTGTTGAAGTCTTATCTGTTGAGCATCTGTTTTTGACTATAACACTGTTGACGTCTTACCTGTTGAGCATCTGTTTTTGACTGTAGCTCTGCCATTTTAGAGGCAGAATGTTGTAAAGCGTTGTCAGCCAAAAATTTCTGTAGCTCCCTCTGGTGTGAAGACCTTAGTACACCAATCTGTTAAAAAAATGAAAGTCACACACTTAAGCTATATAAAGTAAATAGTTCAATTTTGATGGGTGATTGGATGACAGTTTAACATCCAGTGGCAAATTTAATGCATATATTAAGGATGAGAACATGTTAGTGTGATATGAATATGAACCCTGCTTTGTACTAGACAGACACACTGAGCCTGATTTTTAACGTGCTAGTTCTCAAGGTAACAGTCTGCAGGAAGACATGTCACCCTACCCGAACAAATTATTCTGACTTGAGACAATCAGTCTTTGCTCTTCCTCCTTAATGCTGCGTGCTTGGCAGAAAAGCAGCAAATAACAATTTTACAGTCTTTATATTGACCCAGACGAGGTTCGAAATTCACAATCTCCTGCACTTAAGGCAAACATGCTACCACTTTTGTCTCGTCACAATAAGGTATAGCCAACCAAAAGAGTTATATTAAGAGGAACTAACTAAATAGCAAGGCAGCTTCTTCACAGTTACGTTATTTCCATGAAATACATTGCTGAATATGATTATAATGGAAGTCATGTCAGCATGCAATTTATCTTTTTCACAAAAATTTACAATAAAAAATCACTAAAGGAACTCCAATTTAGTCTCCCATTCCAACCGTCAGCAAAAATTGTTTAAAAGTCAATCATTTAACAGTGTATCATTCTTTTTTTAACACTATTTTACAATTAAATCATTAATGTGACTAGCTTCCATCCAAGTATCACAATATAGATTAAATACTTAGATTGACTTTCAATTCATTGTAATTAACAAACCTTCTGCATTTTACCAACCAAAGTCCTAAATTCCATAGATTCTAATAATAACTCATTCCAATAAATCTATGTACTAGTACCTGTTCTTCATATTTTTCTCTTGTTTTACGATTCTTATCCTCAAAATGAGCCTGATATTTCTGTAGTTCTATCCTATGTGTATCTACCTCTAGCTGTAATTCATCAACCTAATAAAGTAAAACTTAGAGATATAGTTTTGAATCCATATATTCTGTTGGACGGCAAGAGTAATTTTCCTTAAACTGAGTGAGGGCGGCAAGAGTAATTTCCCTAAAATTGAATGAGGGCGGTAAGAGTAATTTCCCTTAAACTGAATGAGAGCGGCAAGAGTAATTTCCCTTCAACTGAATGAGGGCGGCAAGAGTAATTTCCCTTAAACTGAATGAGGGCGGCAAGAGTAAATTCCCTTAAACTGAATGAGGGCGGCAAGAGTAATTTCCCTTCAACTGAATGAGGGCGGCAAAAGTAATTTTCCTTAAACTGAATGAGGGCGGCAAGAGTAAATTCCCTTAAACTGAATGAGGGCGGGAAGAGTAATTTCCCTTAAACTGAGTAAGGTCAGCAAGAGTAATTTCCCTTAAACTGAGTAAGGGCAGCAAGAGTAATTTCCCTTAAACTGAGTGAGAAGTCAGAGGAGTAAGTCTATACACTCTGATTCTATCAAGTGTTCCTATACTTTGATGAAAATAGATAGCAAGTTACACAATCTATAAGAAGCAACTCATATAATAATCCATAAATACAACACTAATATACAAGTAAAAATAAGTCATGTTATCAGATATCGACTGATTCCATTAAAAGACGTCAAGATTTACTGGTGATTAGAAAGAATGTTAGTTGATTGAATGATCAATAGACTGATCACTGCTTTGTGTCCAATGGCAAATATTACTATTAATCAGGACAATTACATATTAATGAGAGATATGCATATCTTCTTATTACAGTAAATCAAATATTTACATCAAACATGTAGGCTCCATGAGTAAACCATATACCTTTGATTTTAACACTTCATTTTCTTTAATCACATCAGATATATGAGTTCTATCAGCAAATGTTTCAGGTTCATATTGTTTTTCATTCACTCTGTCAGTAAATCCATTCACTTCCGATAAAACTTCTGTTTCATCTTCATCCATCTTTCTCATCTTTCCTTTACCTTTAATCTTCTTATTGTTATCTAACAATATAAACAAATAGTTGAACACTATGTTGAACTCATGATGTATTCTTGTTTTTGTGTAGTTGTGTTGCTATCTGACAAAGGTAAGGCCAATGCAATGTATCACATATTATTCATATTGTAGTAGTACCTATATAAATATTTTAAAAAGATGTAAATTGAAACAATTTAAAGAATATTTATCTCTCTATCTTATTAATTAAATGATTAAAAAAAACACCAAGCCATTACCAAATAAATTGATTTATTTGGCTCAAGGCAAACTGGACCAAATGTAAAAGTACAAAAAACATGCAGAACCTCTCTCCCCCTCCTCCAAAACACAATCAATACAAAAATAAATAACCACATACTCTTTCAACTGCAAGTCTAACTCTTTAATTCTTATAATGTAAAAGTGCATGTTCCCATTGTCAAGAAGAAAAGGCATGACAAGACATACAGTAATTCAATTGACAAAAGATTGAACAAAAAATGCCACAAAACATGTCTATTTGAATACCATAATCAGGTGGTCCAGAAATTGGAAAAAATGTAATAGAATGAAAAAAAGTTTTTTTTATTACAGTTAACCTTTAAAAGCTTTTGGTTGGATAAAATAGACTCAGCTTTCCACCAATTGTAAATATTTGTTTCTTGATTGTCACTGTTGTGACATTATTTGTCAAAACTAGTTATAAGTGCGCTCAAGGTTACCTGTATTATTGGTAAAACCATTAACAAGATACAAATGTTTTTCTTTCCTCAGTCTCTCAATAGACTTCTGTAAGATTTGAAGGTCATGGTTTTTACTCTCAATCTCTGCACGAAAAACTTTAACTTGGTTCTTCAGATCTGTTTCTTGATCCTTCGACATCTTCAGTTCATTTTTCAGCGATACTAAAATGAGATACAATTTTAAATATCATCCATATTGCCACATTCATATTATATATTTCCTCTTTTAATCAATAAACTTCATTTTACTTTTACTCCAATCAATATTAAGTTAAGAATTTTTTCTTTAAAGCCCTATAGCTAACAGTGAGGAAATGTCGTCTAAAAACAAAATATGTATGTAGATGATGTAACAACATTTTAATTATTATCATAGAGTTTCTGCTTTCAACATTCATTTTGATTGGATAACGTCACCAATTTTCATGGCATAAATTCACAAAGATGCTATGAAACATACGTGCAAGCGCAGACCATGTTTCACATATTCTAAATTATGATTTTGGCTGTATGATTTTACATTCTTTTCTGTCAGCTTCATTAGATATCAAGATTGCATTTTAAGCTTCAACGGCATCAATTGGTAATTTGATTGTTGGAAACGCCCTTTTACTGGCTCATCTAAAACGTCACTAGTAATCTTAATTTGTGACCATCATATCACCATTTGAAGCCATCGGAGCTTAGAGCTGTTTTCCTTATGCATGTAGTTAAAAGGTTTGGTTGGCTTGCTTGCTTTGTTTGTATAAATGTTTGCTTAAGCATTGTAATAAAGTTTTACATCTGCTATCAATAGATAGACAGAGCTTCAGCTTGTATATATTATACTTATACATGTAAATGTTATTGGAAGTTAAGCAATGTATACAAGTTGAATCCTCGCCTATTTATTGATTGCAGATGTCAATTTTAATTACAATGCTTGAGCAAACATTTATACAAACAATGCAAGCAAGCCAATCAAACCTTTAACTTGCAAGCATTAGGATAACAGCTTTAAAATACATTATAGTTATCTTCTTATTGTATTTGGAAATTTTGTTTGGAAATCTCTGTAGATTTTTGAGAAAGGTAAAAAAAGTATTATATATCCTACCTTCTTGAGAACTTTTAGTTTTATTTAGTTCATTATTAAGGTTATTAATGTCTGCCTGCAGTTCAGCGACTTGTTTTTTATATCTTTCCCTGACACTGTCTAACTCTCTCTGTACAGCCAGGGTACTGGTGTGTGGGTGGTCATACTCCTTCAGTGAGTTATCATCAGTCCTCTTGTAGAGATGAAGCTGAGCCTCCAAATCTTTGATTCTGTCTTCGTATTGTAACTGAAACAGAAAAAAAAATGCTGTAAATGTTGCAATTGTTTTTTTATTTTAGAGATAAATAAAATGTCCTGATATTTCCCTTGATGGAATACATTGCACAAATCAATACTACTGGTGTTAAAATTTTGAAAATTTAACCGCAATACCTTAAGTTTGTGGATTGGAATCGGAAAATACCAATCCAGGAAAATATCTACTTTTACAGTATGTAACTTGGAAAGGAAATTTGTTTTACCTTACCCTTTTAGATTGTTGTTTTTAAATATGCCTTATCAAACAAAACAGGGAATCAAATATTCAAATTTCAACTGGTATTCTTTAAGGTGGTACCCAACACCTTGACTAAAATTAATTTGGCTCATTTGATTTTCATATAATTTTGACAAAATATTTACTTTGACCCTTTGAAAAAAATATATAAATTTCAAAAAACTTGAACCAATCACTTTCTCGGAAAAATTTCACTGGATATATAGCAGTTTGACAAACACTAATTTTAATCATTGAGAATCTTAATATTTCATTAACAATACAGCGTAATTCAAACGTTTCGCTGATTTTACAGAGTTATCTCCCTGTAGTGTTAGGTACCACCTTAAACAATATTCAGAATGAGATTGTGTCAATCTGATACAAATATAAACCATACTTTGTTACATCAGCATCACAAGTTTTGTTTCTCCCACAGAAATAGTTCCCATGATAACAAGTTATCCTAATCAGAAATATAATTACTGCTACACTCTAATAGTCTTTGCTTTTGATGATCAGTGTTATGAGCCTAGAAGCATCAAGTACCAATTTGAAAGTCTTTTCCTTGGTTGTTAAAGAAAACAAAACCTTTAAACCCATATCTCTAAAAAAAAAGTGGAAACTAAAATTTAACTGTGGTTCAATGTTCAAATTATGAACAAATAAATTACCTTGACTGTGTGATATTTCTGTTCTACAGATCTCAGCATTCTCTCTGACTCTTCATCTTTTGTTTCCAGCTCAGCTTCTAACTTCTTTAATTGATTTTCCAATACTATCACAGTAGGAGTTCTTTCTAATGACCCTGGTTTCTCATCAGAAGCAATGGCCGCTGTCATAATCAGAGCTGGCAGAGAGTTTGGATGTCGTCGACGGATAATCTGTTCCATCTCTTTAACCTTTATTTAGATAGAAAATAGTTCATGTAAGGGGTTAGAAAAAATGTTTAACCCAACTACATTCTGTATGTGCCTGTCCCCTGCAAATCAGGATTCTGTAAGTTCAAGGTTGTTGTTGGTTGGTGTCTGTCATATTTGTTTTTCCTTTATTGTTTTGGATTATCTCAAGCTTTGTATGTTTTTTCCTTTCTTTTGTATATTCTAACAGTTATTTTGCTAGCGCACGTCATTATCGCCAAATAGGAAAAGATTTTCGAAATGACAAAGTTTTTCAATTCAGTTTCGGCACTTTGTAAAGTATAAAAATTTCCGTATAAAATTTTCTGACAAGTTTATCTAGATACATGTTTCTGACAAGTTTCTGACCCCAAGCTAATTAAAGGTTTCAACAGGTGGCATAAAATGTTGGTATAGAATAATTCTCTTAATCATTTATACTAATCATTAAATATTTGCATTTTCTTGGAATCCTTTGTTACTTCTTTTGCCTAAGAATGTTAACTATTTAGTCTTACCTGCCGTTGCAAATCTTGAATTTTCTTTGCATCGTTTGCTCTCTCTTTGGCTCTCGTTTTATTTTCTTCTTTCTTCTTACCGGTCTAAAATGGAAAAAATGGAAGATAGGTATCCTACCAAAGGCATATACAATGTTCCTGGATTTTCAATGGAAATGAACTAAAAACCAGCTGTATCAGTACATGTATCACACAAATGGCCTCGCTCACACATTTTTAAAGTCCAAAGCCTGTAATTTCGGCAAAAAATCAGCAGAGCAAAAGAAAATGTAAACTCAATCTGTAACTGATCATAGTACACTCACATACTAAAAATCAGCTCAATATGTGAAGGTGTTTAGTTTTTTGTAGATATATACACGATATATGTTTGATTAAACGTTAACATACCTCAGATTTTAACTCCTCTATTCTGACTTTGAGTTTAGCTATTTCCTCCTCCTTTTCTTTCAGTATTTTAGCATCTTTGTCGAGGATCTGTTGATTTTCAGCATACCACTTCAGCTTTCGTGAGATTCGTTCATTCTCCTTTATATATTTTTCCTCTATTTCCTACAAAACAATGTAAAGGGAGATCACAAGTCCGTAATGTGTTTGTAAAAACTTGGTTTCATCAATCCTTTTGAAGCATTCATGTAAAACAGAATTTAGGTAATCTGTGTTAGAAGACTAAAGTTACTTCTTTAACAGATTTGGAACAACAAAATGGTGTCTCTAGTGGGAATATAAAAACTTGCGTGACTTACTAGAGTACCGAAAGATGTTTGTTTACAAATGTTTTATTAATGTTTGTTGTTAAAGACTGTATGGTGCCCTCAATATGTCAATTAGTTATTTTTGTTGTTGGGTGGTTGTCTCATTGGGGTAATATTATACTCAACATCAACCTTTGTTCACATTCAGAAAAGTTTACAAGATATGTATGTGGGGAAGTAAAACAACAGTTTCTTTGATGCAATTCATGATACTTGGATTTTCAAAGTATCAACAAGTTTTATGTTGGTCTTAAGCCTGGCGACACCAAAATCTTGGTAATTTTGTCAATTTGCTCCTAATCTGCCAAGCTTGATGCATTTAGGAGCAAGTGCAAAAAAAAATGTTGGCTTGGAATCAAAATATATCTGCTGTGAAGGGTGACAATGTCTCCTTGAGGACCTTTACCTTGTGAACTAGCACATTTAGAACCCTTCTCAATGTGATGGCCATGGTCTAGTATAATGCAGGGAATGCACTTTCAAATAATTTTTTCAGGTCATTTCCATGTTCATGTTCGGATATGCATGTAATATTTGCCACTGAACATTTTACACCAATCCATTCATCCATCCATCAAAGGCTAAAAAGCCATATAATATTCATATGGTGTTAGCTTTTTTATATATAAAAGACTACATACTGACATTTATATGTAATCTACTAATTCTTTATTTTTGGTTTGCTGTCATACCTTAGCTTCCTCAGACTTCAGTCCTTTAGATTCCTCCAGTTTTTTCCTCAGTTGTTCCTTTTCTTTGATTATCTGATCAATATGTTGTTCTAGTTCCACCTTAGTTTTCTGCAGGACTGATAATTCTCTTTTGGCATTTTCCTCCTGTCTCTGTAAAGTTAATCATCATATACATGTAAGTATTAAGCCAATGTGTGCCATTGTGACATTAAATTGGTATAAATCAATCAAAAGTATTTATTAGTATACAGCAGATTATTTCCCATGAAATTCATACAGATCTTGAATAGTGAAATATATTCACAATTTGTATAGACCCTGGCAATTTAGAGCATGATATATTATATAGACATTTGTCTATTGTTGAAGTCTTTCAATATTTTGTGTTGTTTGTATAAAACCTGTCTATTGTTGAAGACTGTACTGTTTGTATCTAGATGTCTTATAAGTATTGCATTGTTTGTAGCATTGGAGTATACCCCACATCTCATTTTTAACCATGGTGCTATATTGGATAATTTTATAATAGAATGTATAGGGGCCATGGTGCTATATTTTTGGGAAAACCAGTGCTATGTAAATTTCCATGGTGCTATTTTAAAATTCTAGGGAGAACACTGGTTTATTTACCCTTGATGACCATCTTCCCCTGCCCCCTTTTCCCTCCTGTTGGATACCCTTAACCACTCTATAATCAGTATTCCCAGTGACTATATTCCTTGCCTCTAATATGGACAAATTCTCAGTTACCAGCTGTATTGTCATACACCTAATTATTTTTTAAATAGTTCAAATTCTACCCACTGTACCAACATCTCTGAAGTACCAAATGTGGGGCAGAATTTGCCTATCTTTCCAGAGCACCTGAGATTCCCCCTGTTTAATGGCTCAGTCTTTAGTTGCCTTGGTGGTGTCAGTTTCTCTTTGACTTGTGAATTGTTATATTCCCTTTGGTGTCCTCAGCCATTTTTCGTAACAATGTTTTCGGATTTGCCTGCAATATTTACAGTGGATATATTATGTTTTACTAACCTTGGCCTCTTTAGACTCTGCCTCTAATATAGCTATCTTTCCTGCCCCTAGAACCGCCCCTCCTTCTGTATTCCCTGCAGCTATGTTTTGCTGTACTGGTAAGCTGGTGATTACACCTTTGTTCTTGTATGCCACTTCTTGTCTTTCAAGTAGAGTCCTGAATAAAGAAACATGTATTGAGTTTTATGTTTTAAAGAAGAGCTGAAAGATGTAAAAAGTAAATCTAACAATAAAATTATTATATAACTAATGACCTCAACAGGAATCCCTTATATATATATATCAGGGGTGATAATTCCAGAATACGTTATCCAATTTTTCTATAATTTTCAGGATAGATGGATCTTGCCCATTGGAACTTTTCAGCAATTCTCATGTTCATCTAGCAACTGTCGTATTCCAGATAAGAGCCCAAAACTGTGAAATTTGCTTAAATTAGACATTTCAAGGGTGATTACTCAAAATGCTTTATATTTTAAAGATATCTTTTCAGTTATTTGTAATGAAATTTCAGTTTTTCCCTTTCTATTTAGAAGTGTAATCTAAATATTTGCATTTGTAAATGTATGCTAAATATAATTTTGAAAGATCATTCCTTATTGGTTTGTAGTTGCTTGATCACTGAACTTTGCAAGTGGGATTTCAATGTACATTTCTGAAAGGCAGATGTGTATTATTCGAAAATTTGGAGGCATTACAAAATGACATTTTTTTTCAATTTCATTTTTTTAATGGCATCATATTAGAAAATCTCCAATTTAATTATATCAGCACAAACCTCAGATTTGCCACTTCTGTCGCCATCTTTTGGTTTTCTTTAAACATTCTTTCCTCTGCCTGTTTAGACTGTTTTTGAGAAGTCTTTAATTGTTGATACAGTTTTTTGTTTTCTTGCTGGTATCCTGCCAACAGGGTTTCTTGTTCCTTGAGCTCCTTCTCAAACCGTTCAACCTGTCCTTTACTGGCTCCATCAGTCAAACCTTCTACCATTTTCTTTCTAATTTCAGTCTCATCCTCAGGTACCTGTATGAAGAAGAAAAAACAATGTTGACCTTTTTATATAAGCACCTGTCTGTTGTTAAAGAATGTATGTTGACCTGTTTAAGTTTTTTTATGTTGTTGAGTAGTTATTTCACTGACATTTACTGACATCTCCTTATATTCATACTAAAATCACCCTTATCATCCACAGTTCATGGAAAATTTAGCGTTGATTATGAGATCATGCAATTTCACTGATAATCTAAACTGGATCAAATAATTCTATCAAAAGTTTCGTTCGATTTTGACATTTTTACCTTTGCTTGCAGAACAAATATTTCTTGTTTAAGTTTGAATATTTGTTCCTCAAATTCTTGTTTTTGCATTTCAATCATACTGCCATATTCCTTTTCTACTTGAATGAGGTCATCTAAAAATAAAATTATAATGTTACTAGTATAACACCCAAATCGAGTCAAACTTATTCTACCCGAACTAGGTTATCTAAAAATAAAATTATAATATAACTGGCCTAACATCAACTTCATGTCAAATTTTTTTTCAACCTGAAAAGGTGTTTAATCTAAAAATAGATTTACAATATTGTTATAAACATTATAATCTGATAATCTTTTTCTATCTTAACAATTGCATCTAAAAAGATATGTATAATGTGATACAAACTTTAGGTTTCAGAAATTTTTGCGCACATTAGTTATTGCAATTTTAAACTATTACTGTTTAAGGAAATGGTACCTTCAAATAATGAAACGAAAGTTTTAATTGTGAATGTTTATTTTTGCCAAATCTTTTTAGAATTTTTTTTTGCAAGATAAAAATAATGCAAAAATTTCTGAATTACAGTACTTAATAACATCTAAATAATATGGCATATTTTTTTCTACTTGAGCAATGCCATTAAAAAATACTATTACAATCATAATCTCTAAGACAGATGTCATGCTTTTTTTTTACCAGAAAGTCGGGTAAAAACACTTTCATAAAATTAAAATTTCTTTCAAAACCAGGTACATTAATTAAAGGAAAAACCAATATTACTGTCTAGACAATCTGTAACCCACCTTTTGTCTTCCTATGCAATCTTTTCTCCTCTTCTAATGATTCCTTCAACCTTCCCACATCATCGTCTATTCCAAAAGATTTGTCTCCCTTCCAGCTGGCTGCTATTGATGGCTCATCCATAGAGTATTTGGCCTAAAACAAAATAAAAAAACTTTAACACCATTATTTATTTACTGCTTCCCTGCAAGCCAAAAGATTAGGAGCAACCATTGGTTAACTTGGAACAGAACGATATGTCCAGATAGGGTGACAGGTTTTCCTACAAACTGTTACATTGCACAATAGCAGGTTATAATGTCCTAGTATAAAGCAGAGCACCTGAGTTCACCTCCAGTTTTTTCTGGGATTTATATTGTTTAATCTTTAGTTTTCTATGTAGTGTTGTGTGGACATGTTCGTCTTTTTATTGTTTAACTATTTTTGGCCATTGCAGTGTTAGTTTTATCTTTGACTTATGAGTTTTTGAATGTCTCTTTGGTATCTTCCTCCTATTTTTAATATCTACATGTATAACCCTGACCTATAGTGACCTATAGTTGTTAACTTCTATCTTATTTGGTGTCTGGAGGAGAGTTGTCTCACTGGCAATCATACCACATCTTCTTATTCTTATAACCCTGAATATGTATGTAGTATTTGCTGCCTTACATTAAGCAGCCATTAATCAATCAATCTAATTCTCAACTGATCTAAATTTTACTCTAACAATTTTTTCTCAATTTTTTCTGAATGCAGATTCTTCTCAAAGTTGGTAAATTATAGGACAACTAATTGAAGAATTAAAATATTGATAATTTTCAACGAGGGACCGAACAACACATTAATTCACGTATGCGAGTAGTGCATGAGTTAATTATCAGTGTTGTTCGGTCACCAGTTGAATATTTTTCAATATTTGAATTCTTTGATTAGTTATTCTTTTTATTACATTGACAATGGGCTTTTTAATGGAATTAAAGTAGAAAATCCAAGGAACTATATCTTTTCTACACATTCACAATTTGCTTTGATGCAACGTCATCGACAATATCTTGACAACACCTATTGTTGTATGACGTCAGAGGAGTGAAATAAAGGAGTTTACTTCACATGTGAAATTATTAGTTTTTATTTCACTGGGAAATCACGGTACTTCCTTGCAACCAATGTAATAATATACAATTATCATGTCACAAAAGGTGAAAATCTCTCTTGATGATAAAGTTTGTAAGTAAATGCAGATTATTCACTCTGAATTATCTCCCTTCTTATTCTTTATAAGCAAAATGTACCAGGTTTGTAAATCCTAGTTTTGTCACCTCCAATCACCAGCAATGATCATGCTTCACTTTGAATCACTCAAAACCAGAAACAGTGATACTTAATTGACTGTCCTTGTGTGTACTTTATACCTATCTTATTTTTACCATCAGGCCATTGTAAAAGCAACGATAAAGGTTGACCATTTCTTTATATGATGGCAAGCAAAAAGAACATTTTATTGTTTTGTAAATAAAAGGACTGAAATGGAGTATATGTCAGTAAGACAGCAACCCATATTTTGAAGATTCATAAAGAGGGGAGACAATATTTTACCAAGCATCTTGTGAAATCATAACAACAGATTCTAATATTAAATCATGTGACCACATAAACTTGTTACCTTTGACCTTTTGTTGTTAAAGCTACATCAACAACAAAATTAAATTTCTAAAACATCAAAAGTCTTTAAAAAAAAAAGAATTCTGTAAGCCTTACAATTTAAAATTTTAAAATGTTCATTAAGAACTGGAATAAGTATTCTAAAGGTTTCACATGGAATCAACATAAAGTGCCTATTTCTAATTATCAAGTACCATAATTCCTGAACAGCAAAAGCAAAAAAAATTTCAATATCAAACCTGAACAGAGTTTTTTTTATCAGTAATAGCATGTTTAATTTGACAAGCATTGGTTGAAAGCTTTTCAAGTGGTTATTATATGAAAATGACTGAAAGTGCCACTTCCCAATCAATTAAGAACCATAAATTCAAAGTGAAAATCATCAATATCAAACCTGACCATTTTGTCAAGGGTACAACAAATTAAATTGGAAATGCATTGGTTCTCAGATTGTTGCACAGAAACAACTGGATCAGCCCACCCACCATACTACCAGAATCTAAAGATAATAATAACATTTTTACACCTAAAAATTAGTTAAAAATTTACCTCAGGAATATTTCTGTCAGTGAAATGTTCCTTAATATAATTAGCAAAGGCATCGACTGAAGCATTGAGCTGGGATTCCATTCCTGGGTCTATGTATTTCTGTTTCTTGTTTTTAGGGCTCTCTGTTCCTGAAATAAAGAAGACTTTTTCTAGGATTAACTGTGATTTATTGAACAGCTATATCATGTTAAGAAGGGGTGTTTGTGTAAAATATCCTGAGCCATTAGGAGAAGGAGATTCCATCTCAAGACTGGTATATTTCCCAAATATTCTCCTGAGCATGATATTTGTTATATTACACATCAATTTGTAACTTGAATAACAAGTACATATTATTAATAAATTGCTTGTCATGGGCTTGATAAGATCTTATGAATGTTTAACTCCTAGCACTTTGTTTTTGAACTCTCTAAGGTACAGATGAGACCAGGCCTGAGTTTCTTATGACTAAGATTGTCTTAAGTATACTGAATTGTTCATGACTTAAGATCAACATAATTCATAAGATTTTTTTGTGAAACGGGGGCATGGTAGATACACTTTCAAGACAGTAACAATAGGACTTTGATTACATTTCATGCAATTTTTACCCTAAAAAACTAATATTCAGTAATATTTCAAATTAGAATGTAAGTTAATATAAAACACAAAATTGTTACCTTTGACCTTTTGTTTAGCCACATCAACAGGAGACCAGACATCTGTGACTGCTTTCCTGTCCAGGATACCAGTCCTCTCATCATGTCTATCAGTAATGTCAAGTTTTCTGTCATATCTTCGTTTCTGTCTATCATTTTCTTCTAGCCTCTCTTTGGAACTACTCGGCCTCTCTTTCATTGTCATATTTTTAGATGGAGAATATGATGTCCCATATCCTGAACTCTTAACATGAGCAAACTTGGGATTCAGTGTTCCACCTAAAGCACACAATACTTTTTTTTAATCTTAGAAAAATTTAGATTTACTTCATACACAATATGGGATATTTTACACTTTTACAACACTCAAAATGCATTCAAATCTTATAATTACAATAATGTCACATTCAGTTGAATATTTTTGAATATTGGTGAAAAGATACTTTCTATGGATTAAACATATTGTTGTTATGTAACAGGAAGTGACATAGAAGTACATCCCATTCTTCAATTTGTTTATTCATTGGATGATTCTAGATAGATTATTAAGTTACATATTTAGCTACTCATTCAATGAAATATACATGTGTCATAATTATCTTTGGCTGTATATTGTTGGCAAGTTTATTTTCTAAACTGTAAGTTTCATAGATATAAGAAGATGTGGTATGAGTGCCAATGAGACAACTCTCCATCCAAGTCAAAATTTATAAAAGTAAACCATTATAGGTCACAGTACGGTCTTCAACACAGAGCCTTGGCTCACACTGAACAGTAAGCTATAAAGGGCCCCAAAAAATTACTAGTGTAAAACCATTCAAACGGGAAAACCAACGGTCTAATCTATATAAAAAACGAGAAACGAGAAACACTTATGAACCACATCAACAAATGACAACTACTGAACATCAGATTCCTGACTTAGGACAGGTGCAAACAAATGCAGCGGGTATAAACGTTTTAATGGTACCAAACCTTCACCCTTTTTCTGAAACAATAGTGTTACATCACAACACAGAAAGACACACTATAAAATATCAACTGAAATAGCTTAACTCAATCAAAGACATATTAACACCAGTGAACATACACTGAACAAATAAATGTTCAATTTGGGAACTCATACTACTATATTACCAAAAAATAATATTTGCAAAATCAAACAGACCTTTACTCTCTGTTTTTAAAGTTAATTGAAAGTCATTTTTATATTTTTTAAGAGCTTACCATATTGCATAGACAACTGTTCATTGTCTAGTGTAGAAGACCTATATGTTGCATTCTAGATGCCATTTGGTTATTTTTGTCATTGTCTTATTGACTGAAACCCTACATCTCTTTTTGTCTATATATTTTACCTATCTTTTAAAAGGACTATTGATTGTCTATCTACATGCTAAAAATTAGAATTTCATAGTACACCTTCAGTAAGATTACAATCTGACATAAAGAACAAGCCTGTCCTGAACATGCATGATATATTTGCCACTGGACACTAAGCAACCAACAATCAATTAACAAGCCCTTAAATAACAAGTTTATATTACAAGAAACTTAGCCTGGCATTTTCCAAGGAAACAATTAGATACATTTTATCAATTCACCTATTCACTGTAAATATAAAACTGAATGCATATTTTGTAAGTTTAAAGCCAGAAGAGAGCAAGTGATGTAGCACACCTTAAACTAAGTAGCCCTTACATTACATCATTAACAGTCAAAACTTATAAAATCTGATTTTAATTCTTAAACTAATAAAAACAGCTTACTAGGTTTTACAGGTGAGTGTGACCTATCAGTTATTGCCCCTGATGGTGCCCATCGCCGTGGTGACATGGAAGCTGACATACTTCTCCTAGGAGATATACTAGGTGATTTCTTCCTTCGCTGTGGTGATCCTTTCTTTCTTCTTTCCTTTGAGTCATCTTTATCTTTTTTCCTTTCTTTTGTCTCTTTTCTCTTTGACCTCCCTCTCTCTGATACAGACTGAAATTTGATGAAAATCTAATTAATTTTATTTCAATTCTAATGCTTAATCACATTTTTCCCCCTCATTTTTTTTCATTTAAAGTTTTTACCTACCAGTGCATGGGGCAAATTATAGAAACTTTATGTAGCTCTTTAAATGAAAGCTTTATAATGTTAAATCTTCACATATTATTAAAGACAACACAATATATATTGATAATTTATAATATTTGAAGTGAAATCAAAATATTATTCAAGACAAAAACATGACATATTATGTTTAATATGTTGATTAGAATTAAAAAAAATTGTTACTTCACATAAAAGAAATCAAGAATTTTTATATAATTATGCAATATTAACATGCTGAAGGATTAAGGTCATTAATTATGTAAAGGTCATTAAAAGGTTATAGTTCAAAGATGATGATGATGATGATGATGTTGGATTTGATTAATTTTGAAGGGTTGACACAAAATGGTTGACAGCATCAATTGGTGATTTGATGGTTTCAAATAAGCAAAAGGACAGAAAATCTGTAGATCAATTACAATACAGAAACTCAAACAATCTTTTCACATGTAAGTTTCACCCACATGCAATGAACAGTAATTAGAGCACTAACATTTTAACAATGTGTGAAATAGTGCATATTAATCCTATTAACAATAATTTTAATGTATATGCCAAGGTAATAATATTTTAAATATAAGGGCATGTATTACAGATTATTGCATTTCCCTTCATCTACATAATTCAGCTCTGTCAGCACTTCAGAAATATTGTATAAAAACATTGGGACTTTTTTTGTTAGTACATTACTTATTCTCTTTTAATTATGAATCTGTTTGTATTTAAATTTATGTTTAACATTTACTTTGACAAAAAGAAAAACTATGAAAAGCAGGGGTGAATCCAGCCACTTTTAAAAGGGGGGTTCCAGCCATATGTCCCCATTCAAACGTATTGATCGTCAAAATAAGGGGGAACTCCAACCCCCGGAACACCCCCCCCCTTTTGAATGCGCCACTGAAAAGACAAATAACAGGCCACAAAACACTACACAGAAAACTGAAAATTGAGAAAGAGAACAACCAAAAACTGAAAAGTGAACCCTGACAGATACTCATGATGGGTCAGTAGATCATGCTGCACTAGCTAATATCTAATTAGTCCTTGATAAAAAACAAAATCTTCTAGCCTAATCAAAACTATCAGATATTTAACAACATTTTAACTAATGAAGTGCAATTAACGCGACATTATAATCTTCTTACTGATATAACAATGGATCCAACAAATTTCTACGGGAATTGGTTATAATTAAGTTCACAAAACAAATTTTTTTCATTTGATCATATTTTTTCATCAATTTTATTTTGAACTAGATATCATTGAGATGGGAGCCATCTCTGTGGGCCCCGCTGTGAATAGTGTGGTAAAAAATTTGTATCTTTATCATTGGACATGGGGTTGTCATCTGAAACCAGTTTTTGACCTTGACCTGTGACCTAGGAAGTTGTACATAAGTTATGACACACCCTCTGGTGTTGGTTTATATACATGTCAAGTATAAATTTTGAAATCATAACGGTTCTCAAGATATAGAGCGGACACGATCTTTACCATAGGACATGGGGTTGTCAACTAAAACCAAAGTTTTTGACCTTGACCTTTGACCTAGGTAGTTGTACATACATTATGACACCCTCTGGTTTTGGTTAATATACATGTCAAGTATAACATGTATAAACTTTGAAATCATAACGGTTCTCTAGATAAAGAGCGGACACAATTTGTTACGGACGGACAGACGGTATGACAGATGGACAGACAGACGGACAGACAGATCACTATAGGGCGTCCGCCATTCGGCGGAGCCCTAATTATTGTTCTTGTCTGATTCTTATGAAATTTTATTTAACTGATTAAGAATCTTCAATTTTAAGGGATTCAAAAGTACTTTTCTAGGTATTGATCAAATTTGTATTTCATAGGTTAAAAAATTTCAAAATTCAATTCTACATGTTTAATAACTAAATAATATGGGAATATAAATGGTTTTTATCTTTTTTCTTCATCATGCAATCTAATTCTTATCATTCAGACTCACACAATATGTATGGTTAATAAATGAAAAAAAAATATATTCGTACATATATAACATGTATAAGGATCATAGCAAACAACACAGCACAAACCAATGCACAATTCTTTGCATACATGTGAATTATCTCCCCTTTACATACAAACAACAACTTACCCTTTTAGATGATCGGCCAGTCTTTATCAAACAAAAAATATGCACAGATTAACATAAGAGTTAAATGTTTAGCTATTAGATTATAAGAACATCTAATGTATGACTACAGATGACTTGCTAATAGAACACACCCAGAAAATGACAGAAATAACTACTGTAAACCAACTTATTTTCGCGAATACTTTATTTCGCGTTTAGCCCTTATTAGCCCATTTCGCAACAATTTAATTTCGCGATTTTCAATTTTGCTTGATGTAGTTAAATGAGGAAAGATCCAAGTAGTACATATTTGTGAAGATCTATTATTTTTCTCTTTGCGAAAGTTGCGAAAATAAATTGCTCGCGAAAATTAGTTGGTTTACAGTATATATAAATGCATGTTTCAGTATGTACAGGTATAATAAAGTCTACAGAAATTTAAAAAAGAACAGGGTAGGAAAAAGTCGATATCTTTTGGAATATAGAATAGCCCTTATCTGTTTTGAAAAATGAATCCTGATATTATCACTGCCTAAGATTCATGCAGTCTGTTGTACAATGTTTACCCTTGTATTCTACAGGAATTTTTTTTGGTAAAAAAACAGCTCAAGAATTTTGAATTAACAAAATACTTGTAATGTTTTTACTACAGGACAGGTTCCACAAAAAAAAAACTGGCATGAGAATTTGATAACATTACTTGAATGCACCATTTCCTGAAACCCCAATAATTAATCTCATAGTTTTGTTAATTGTTCAACAAACACAACAATAAATGCAGGCAAACATTTTTTATTTTACAGTACTGCTGAATGTCTTAATTAGCTTTATTCTTGACCCTACTGAATTGTTTTAAATTTGTGTTTTTTGAAGAACTGTTGAATCTATTTTTTTATAGGAGTGACAGAAATTTCTCACTGTAGAAAACCGTCTTGTTTCTAATCTATTGGTACAATGTAATAGTAAAACAGTTAACTCAGTAGTAGTTTTTTATAAGTGTAAAGTGGTATAAAGAAGATATAGATTGAAAGTTTGTACAATTTGTATTTGGAGATATGAAATGGATAAAAGATCTGTAAGCAATGTTATAAAGCAGCTATCCAAATGATTTCTATAAGAAACTTACGACTTGAGTGACAGGCTGGTACATCTCTGTGTCCTCTGTGTGGGAGTTGTCAAACCCACCCCTGGGGGAATCTTGATGGACTGGGGATAAGTCAAATCCCCTTATCTCTTCCATCTCTTTGGCTGGACCTAAATATCAAAATAAATTATCAAATGTATAAAAGAATGAAAGGATAAATGGTTGTTTTATATGGAAGTAGAACAGGTAATCATTCCCCCTTGATAATCTGTAATCTCCATAATCATGACTGGTATTGAATTTGAATGTACTTATTTCGAGTAAGGAAACCAGTTTTCTGACTGGTATTGAAATAGACAAGTTATATAATCTCCATGGACATGAGGTGTGCCAATAGTTATACAGTTACATACTAAATATCACTGACCAACAGACAGGGGTTCCACCTAATCACTAAATTAAACAAGTGATGACACCACCCAAACAGCATGCCTTATTCTGGTCTCTATGCTTTTGTCAAGAAAGATCCTTTATTGCTATATTATGGTCAATTTGTTTGCTTTTTTGATTATTATTGAGACTACTTTACACTGGACATTTAGGACTATATTTTACCATTAGGGCTATATGGCAATGGACATTTAGGCCTATATTGTTTCCTTAGGACTATATAACAATGGACATTTAGGTCTATATTTCACCATTAGGACTTATTAACAATGGACATTTAGGACAACATTTTACCATTAGAACTACTTAACAATGGACATTTAGGACTACATTTTACCATTAGGACTACTTAACAATGGACATTTAGGACTACATTTTACCATTAGGACTATATGGTTGTTTTCTTCTGTCTTCTAACAGTTCCACAGCTATATCTTTTCTTTTCTTTGACTCCCTGTCCAACTCTTCCATTTCCAGTAGTACTTCTTCAACTGTTCTCTCCTTACCTAAATATTTCAATAAAAAAAATGTATGAATAAACAGAGATGTTAGCCAGGAGTATATATCATTGACACAGCAACCCAACCACAACAATAAACCAAGAAATCTAAAGGGCAACATACAGTCTTCAACAGTTCACTGTTGTCTATACAATATGTCTAGTTCTATAAATTATCCTGAGTCTATTAACCTAGTGAATAACATAAAATAAACAGAAAAAATTTATTGTATCTTAAAAAGACTGCAATTAACCAATTTAATTGCAAAACATGTTTGCATAACTCTCATTACATTCATACAAGAAATAAAAAGCTGTGCAAGGAACGCATGATATGTAAAAATAAAGATGTGGTATGATTGCCAATGAGACAACTCTCCACATGAGACCAAATGACACAGAAATTAACAACTATAGGTCACAATACAGCCTTCAACAATGGGCAAAGCCCATACCACATAGATGCCTATTAACAGCGAGAGTGGACAGGAGTACGTAGCATAAATATATGCCATTTGAATGTTATTAAATGATCAATACAGTGTGCAAAAACTTCATGAGGATACATGAAAGTTTGTCAGAGTTATTGTGAGACAAACCTAAATTTTCTGACTAATACTAAAAATAAACTAATAAACTATTTAACAGTTTTAAAGCCTTAGAATGACTGGTCTGAAATTTCACCAAAAATTGAAAGCAGCTACTTTTTCATTGAATTAACATTGTGTAAATTTTCTGTTAGGATTGGTTGAAACATCCTGTCACAGACAGACTGATAGATGGATTGACATAATGAGGATTGTAGTACATAATAAGGATGTCTTTTACAGGGGTATAAATTGAAATGTACTCTTAAGGGGGTACCCAACACTTTAACTAAAATAGATTTGGCTCGTTCAATTTTCATAAAATTTTGACAAAATATTAACTTTGAAATGTTGACAAAAATATAAAAATTTCAAGAAATTTGATCGACACAATTTACAGGATATATTTCATTGGATATATAGCAGTTTGAAAAACACTGATTTTGATCATTGAGAAGCTCTTTACCAATAGTATGTGATTTAAAACGTTCAGCTGATTTTAAAAGAGTTAACTACCTTAGGTGTTCTGTACCCCCCTAAATCATATATTAATCCGAGCCAAGGTTGTAGCATTATATGATATAAGTTCTAATTTGAGATTTTGTGTATTCCTTTTTTATAATTTTTTTTGAAAATTGTGGTTTGCAGACAGTGGATGGATCCCTGAAGTATCTGTAACAATGGCAATTCAAAATTCACTTGAATTTTTTTTGAAATACCTGTATAACTTTAAAATTAAAAAAAAAAAGTGATTGGACATTCAATCCAGTAAAATCAGTGGTCTAAGAACATTTTACTGGTTTTGACCACCAAGCTGGTGTCACTTGAGAACTTACCAGATTTTGTTCTAGGCTGCTCACTGAGTATTTTCTGTACAAGTTGGGAATTATTGCTCTTATTTCCCTGATATGAGCTGTCAAGTGGCTGACTCTCATTTGTCATGCCTGTCTCCTGTAATGCTTGATGGTATACTGCCTCCATCTCCATGGATGTGTTAGTTCCCATAAAACCTAAAAAAAAGAAAACAGAAAATCTCTATCAAAACATTTTCATGTTTTATCTTCCTTCAGAAGTTACTTACTGTTTACTGTTTTTAACACAACATGAAAGTTACAATATACATCACATGGTATATATATGTAGGACTCTAAAGTGTGATGGGGATGCTTAAACGCGATAGTCACGCTAAAGTGCGATGGCCCACGCTAAAGTGCAATGGCCCACGCTAAAGTGCGATGGTTTGATACGCTAAAGTGCAATGGTATGTGCTATTCATTTGAACATGCCAAAGTGCGTTTTTTCCGCACAGTATCAACGTTAGCATTGTTAAACAGCATTATGACGAGAATGTTTGTCCAGATTAAGGGTTTTTATTACACAAGAAAAGAACGAAGAGAGAAACAAATGATCAACGTGAATCTGGGACATTTTTGGTCGTTGCTGGAAGATGGTTAACTTAATTTGTAAAATTGTGAAAAGAAATTTAATCAAAACTACTTGGGGTTCCAATAAAGTCTTCTTTTTTACTTTCCAATTGAAGATTTCTATTTAAAAAAATTCAATATGGTTTGTTATTTCTGTTAAATAATGAATATACGTCAACTAGACAGCAACCTAACGAACAGATGTGTTGGAGCATCATATGATTGCCAATAAGACAACTCTCTAGCCAAACCCTTATGTCATTAAGGTATGCAACTTTAGGAAAATATAGTATGACCTTTAACACAGAGCATGATTCTATTAAGACCAAAGGGCCTCAAAACAATCAATGTAAAACAATTCAAACGAGAAAAATAACAACCTGATTTAAATACAAAACAATAAAAAAAAACAGCAAATATGAAATATACCAACAAACGACTACCACTAAGAGAGCTACCATTTGATTTTTATGGATGCATTTTTTTTAGTTGTAATCTCTGTCCTGCCTTTTTTTTTCACTCTATTCGGTCCTGACTTTTTTTTACACAAATTGTCATCCTGACTTTTTTTTGGCAAAGTGTCTCATCCTGCCTTTCTTTACTCAAAACTCCTTTCCTGCCTTTTTTTTAAATTTCATCCTAGCCCCCCCCCCCCCCCCCCCCCCCCCTCTCCCCATAAAAATCAAATGGTAGCTCCCTAAATTCCGGATATACCAACTACTGCAATGTAACCATTACACTTTTTGTACTTTAAATAAAAAATAAGAAGATGTAGTATGTACTATCCATCCAACCCCAAATGTCGTTAGTGTATGCAACTAATAATCATACGGCCTTCAACGTAAAGCCTTGGCCCATAATGCATAATAAGTTATATAGGGTTATACAATGAACAGTGTAAAACAATTCAAAAGAGAAAGACTTCGGCTTGATATATAAATAAAACAAAAAACGAAAAAGTAATAGGAACTCAGCAACAAACGAAAAACATTGTCTGAACCACATTCCCTTTACACCATCAGACTTTAGTGTGTCATACCATTGCACTTTAGCGTGTTATCTGATCGCACTTAAAAACAAACAACAATCACATATTAGTGTCTGACACCATCACACTTTAGCATAGACCATCGCACTTTAGCGTGACCATCACACTTTAGAGTACCATCGCACTTTAGAGTCCTACATATATATGAGTAACTCAATCAACAAGTTAAAAACAGACCTACTGCAAATATAACCCAAGGAAACACAACATCCATGATATGAGTTACTCAAAAGACAAGATAGAGACACATCAAGGACAGACCTACTGCAAATATAACCCAATAATGCACAACATCCAAGACAGAACAAGCTCTAATGAGTGCCCAATGTATAGGAATTTGTATGACACTGTCATTGTTTCATTCTTAATTTTTTTTTTTTTTAAATGATGATTGTTTTTAAACCTCAAAAGCATATTTTTTCTTTTAATTTTATTACATTTTTACAGGTCTGTAAAAGTGTTTCAAAGTACATATTTTTTTTCATACAATATGTTTACAAACAAATTTACACTTTAAATGCAGAAGTTTTTTAGAAACAATTTTTACCATGTTTACATACATAAATTTAAGAAAAAACTCACTTTTTAGCCATTCTAAAATTTTAGCCTCCATATTATGTGCGTCTATAAAATTTTCAAATTTAAACTATTTATACATTTTAATACTTTAAAACTAAATTCTCAAGAAATAACAGAAATAAACAATAAGAGGTATCATAAGGGGGGAATATTTCAAATCCAAAATCCATTTCAAATTAGAAAAACATTTTTTAGTTTAAATTTTGAAAATTAAAATAGTCATAAATAAAATTGAAAGAATAATTTTGATTTCAAATTTTAATATTTGGCTTGCGATAAGATTGTTTTTAATGTAAGAAAAACACCCTTGGGTTAAAAATTTTCAAAACATCTTTAATTGTAAAAGGAGTCAAAATGTTGATAAACAGATAAAACGAATTGATTACAAATATAGCACAACTATTCTTTGTCATTTAATCACAGGTTAACATACAAAATCAAACTGGTTTTTTAAATTTTACTACAAAAGTCTTCTAACTCTTTACTATAAAGAAATATATACTGGCATCAATTTCACACGTGTGAACATTTTTACCTGAGCTGACAAGATTAAATGTCCATTTCGCATGTCTGTGGTGAATTTCAAGGATGACGCTAATAAATTTGATTGTTAAAATTTAATTGTTCAATAGAAATTGATTGATCATCAGACATTTTAATCTTAATAAAGAAAAAAAAAACGACTGTTAAAATCTTCAATTTCTGTTTGTCACAAAAAAAGATTTAAATTTGTCAAAGATGAGAGACATAATAATATCAGAATAAAACATCAAAAGTCAAAACAAATTAAACATTTTAAGAGGAAAATACTGCATGTACAAACAAAAGACAGTCACATGTATTTCTATAACTGAAAAGAGGGTTCTTTTAGTTTTTACTGGTGGTGAAAAGGGGGAGGGGTTATATTAAAAGACACAGCAATTCAATGACAAAGGAAGAGCTTACTAATGTAATATTCTAATGGATTCAGGAAATTTTGTCTATTTGTGGGTATTTTATTTCGTTGTTTTGCCAGTCTACAATAATTCTAAATTCCAGTATGCATATCATGAAAGATTTTTTTTTTTTTTTAAAACATCAAATCAAGATACAATACATGTATTTTGAACAAAACTTTAAAAAAAAATTTATCCTGCAAAACTCCAAAAATTCAAATTATTTTGATCAATAAATGAAATAAGATGTGAGAACACAAGTATGTACTGAACAGTATCCAATATATTCATGAGCATTAATTCATGTAGTTGGGACAAGTTACCAATAGGAAATACAGACAGACGGAAAAGAAGATTAGATGTATGGACAATCAGACCTCAAATTCACTTTAAATGTAATTTAGAACACAAATACAGAGGTTGATGTGGAATAAGAATTAAACTTGGACTAGTAACTACTATATTATATTCAAGAATAAAAGGGAGATACTAGTTAGAAGTCAACATACAATTTTCATCAATAGAAAATGTTAAATGCAATATGTCAAGCTCAAAATCTGTGTGGTTTAGATGTTTTTTGACAGAGACTACCAACGACCTGTTCATACCTGTCAACTGACCCAGATTTTGCAGGTCACACCCAGGAATTTAAGAGCTCACCCAAAATATTTCTATAGTTGCCCGGGTGATCAAATAATTCGTAATTTCGGCATTTGACCTTTTTAACCCGTATTCTTGTGCCTTGAGACTTTTAAAGTATGAATTGATATATTTCATAAGTGATTTTCCTCTGAAATACTGACAAATTTGTAATTCTTCCTTAACAGGAAGTTCAACTAGCTGTATAAGTGACCCATTAAGTGCATGGCTTCGCTTGACATCTTTGGTGTCAAACACAATAAAAATGAACACCCATTACCTTAGCCTAAGGTCATATATAATTTGTGTATTTCAAAGATGTTTAACAAAAAAATTCAAGTTACTCCCCCTTTTTTGCTACTTTTCACAGTAAATTTTAAATTATATTATCTAATATAAACTACTTTTAATTGGAATACAAAGAAAAGCTTTAAAGTGTATCTTAGCTATAACAATCCATGAAAAAAAGAGTTTATGGGTTGATTTAAAGCAGTGTGAATTAACAGTAAGAAAGGGTATGGCTTAAATGGATATAGTATTATAAATTAATATTTTCATGATAAATAAATGCAATGAAAAAATAAAATTAAATAAATGTGGATAGTGTACACATGTGAACACAGATGATGCCCCTGCTTGCATACCATATAGTTATAAAGGGACATAACTGAAGAACGGTAAAAGTGTGCTACCCAAATTTGAACTTGATCTGAGTTTTGTGGTAATAAGCATTGTGTGTAAGTCTTATAATATTTGGTATAGGCTACCTCAAGTAGAGAACAGAAACTAAAAATTCAGCAATTTTTCTATTTGTAAACACGCATAACTCTAGAACAGTTGTGTATAAGTTTTATAACATTTGGTTGAGACAAACTAAAGTTAGAGAACGGAAACAAAAAATTCAACAAATTTTATGTTTATAAAGGGACATAACTCAAGAATGGTAAAAGTGTTGCCACCAAATGTCGTACTTAATCTGTATTATGTAGTAATAAGCATTGTGTATAAGTTTCATAACATTTGGTTGAGGCAAACTAAAGTTAGAAAACGGAAACAAAAAATTTGTACTTGATCTTAGTTTTGTGGTAATGAATATTGTGTATAGGTTTCATAATGTTTGGTTGGGGCAAACTTAAGTTACAGAATGGAAACTAAAAATTTTGCAATCTTTCAATTTATAAAGGGGCATAACTCAATAATGGTTAAAGTGACACTACCCAAATTCAACTTGATCTGTGTTTTATCAGTGGAAGTCAAAATTAAACATTGCATTGTATAAAGCATTGATTGTAGTTGATTCAACTATAATAATGGACAAAGGAAGATAACTCCAATTTTAACAAGAGTGCACACGCTGAAATGTCTCGCCTTCTTTACTAACCATTGATTTTATGTTGATAGTCCTAAATACAAAGCTTTACTTCAAGTAACACATAAACTTAACATGATCCAAGAAAATGAGGTCAAGGTCAGATAAACCAAACGAGAAATACATGTACACCTTACAATCATTCAATAAACCAAACATAGTTGACCTATTGCTTATTGTTTCTAAGAAACAGTCTCAAACAAGAAAACTTTACATTGACCAATGAACCATGAAAATGAGGTCAAGGTCAGATGAACCATGCCAGACAGACATGTACACCTTACAATCAATTTAGGCATTAAATATAGTTGACCTATTGCTTATAGTATCTAAGAAACAAACTTAACCATGAAAACTTAACATTGACCAATGAACCATGAAAATGAGGTCAAGGTCAGATGATACCTGCCAGACAGACATATACACCTTACAATTCTTCCATACATCAAATATAGTTGATCTATTGCTTATAGTTGAAGAAAAACAGACCAAAACACAAAAACTTAACACTGAGAAATGAACCGTGAAATGAGGTCAAGGTCAAATAAAACCTGCGAGACTGACATGTACATCATAAAATATTTCCATACACCATTTATAGTTGACCTATTGCATATAGTATTAGAAAAAAAGACCAAAACTCAAAAACTTAACTTTGACCACTGAACCATGAAAATGAGGTCAAGGTCAGATGACACCTACCAGTTGGACATGTACACCTTACAATCATTCCATATACCAAATATAGCAGACCTACTGCTTATAGTATCTGATATATGGACTTGACCATGAAAACTTAACCTTGTTCACTGATCCATGAAATGAGGTCGAGGTCAAATGAAAATTGTCTGACGGGCATGAGGACCTTGCAAGGTACGCACATACTAAATATAGTTATCCTATTACTCATAATAAGAAAGAAATTAACATTACAAAAAATGTTGACTTTTTTTTCAAGTAGTCACTGAACCAGGAAAATGAGGTCAAGGACAATGAACATATGACAGACGGAAACTTCGTAACATAAGGCATCTATATACAAAGTATGAAGCATCCAGGTCTTCCAGCTTCTAAAATATAAAGCTTTTAAGAAGTTAGCTAACGCCGCTGCCGCCGTAGCCGCCGTCGCCATAGCCGCCATAACCCGCCGCCAGATCACTATCCCTATGTCGAGCTTTCTGCAACAAAAGTTGCAGGCTCGACAAAAATTACTTGACATTTTGAAGAAAATAAAAATTTAGCAATTTTTCCATTATAAAGGGCATAACTCTTGAACGGTTCAAGTTACACCAACAAAATTCAAACTTGATCTGTGTTTTCTGATAATGAGCATTGTGTATGAGTTTCATAACATTTGGCTGAGGCAAACTAGAATTAGCAATTTTTCCATTTGTAAAGGGGTATAACTCTAGAACGGTAAAAGTGATGCCACCAAAATTCAAACTTGATCTCTGTTTTGTGGTAATAAGCATTGTGTATAAGTTTCATAACATTTGGTAAAGGTAAACTAAAGTTAGAGAACAGAAACAAAAAATTCAGCAATTTTCCATTTGTAAAGGGGCATAACTCTAGAACGGTAAAAGTGATGCCACCAAAATTCAAACTTGATCTCTGTTTTGTGGTAATAAGCATTGTGTATAAGTTTCATAACATTTGGTAAAGGTAAACTAAAGTTAGAGAACAAAAACAAAAAATTCAGCAATTTTCCATTTGTAAAGGGGCATAACTCTAGAATGGTAAAAGTGATGCCACCAAAATTCAAACTTGATCTGTGTTTTGTGGTAATAAGCATTGTGTATAAGTTTCATAACATTTGGTTGAGGCAAACTAAAGTTAGAAAACGGAAACCAATTTTGGGACATACGTATGTACAGACGGACAAGGGTAAAACTTAATGCCCCCTCCGCTATGGCGGGGGCATAAAAAAATATAAACAAGTATTCTGAGAGTATTGCATGGCAATACAGAGTCCCCTACCGGTTAAAAATTCATTGTACTGGAACAAAATGCTAACTTGATCAATAAATTGTCATGGTGTAAACTATATAACAAATATCAAGTCAATATCTTCAGGCATGACGAAAACAAGAATGTGTCCATAGAACAGGGATGTCCCACTGGCACTATCATTTCCTATGTTCAGTGGACCGTGAAATTGGGGTCAAAACTCTAATTTGGCATTGAAATTAGAAAGATCATATCATAGGGAACATGTGTACTAAGTTTCAAGTTGATTGGACTTCAACTTCATCAAAAACTACCTTTACCAAAAACTTTAACCTAAAGCGGGACAGATGGAAGAACGAATGGACGGACGAACAAACGAATGAATGAATGGACAAAAGAATGGACTCACAGAATGAAAAAAAAATAATGCCTCTCTACTTTTGTAGGTGGGGCATAAAAAGTGTGGAAAACTGATTATTTAAGTGAATTTTTTCAAGTCCAAGGACAATAACTCTGCACAAAATCATCAGACAGGAACAAAATTCGAACTTGATCTGTAGCTTGTCATGATAAAACTATTTATTACATTGGTAGCAATGAATTAAATTGATTTCCCAGTCAAATAAAAACCGATAATTTCACGAGTGAAATAAACGTGGCTACTTCACTCTCTGACGTCATACAACAATTGGCGTTGTCAAGACGTCGATAACGTCGGATCAAAACAAATTGTGAATGCATAGAAAAAAGATATAGTTCCTTACATTTTCTACATTAATTTCATTAAAAAAAGCCATTTGCCAATGTAATGAAAAGAATAACTAATCAAAGAATTCAAATATCGAAAAATATTCAACTCGTGACTGAACAACACTGATAATTAACTCATGCGCTACGCGCATTCGTGAATTAATGTGTTGTTCAGTCACTCGTTGAATATTTTTCTCTATTTGAATTCTTCGATTAGTTATTCTATAAATACCAATTATGAAATCAATATCTTCAAGCATGAGGAACAAAAGTGAGGAAAACTGTTTAATATTTTAGTGAATTTTTAAGTCCAAGGACAATAACTCTGCACAAAATCATCAGACCGGAACAAAATGCTAACTTGATCTTGTTATTTGTCATGATAAAACTATATACCAATTATGAAATCAATATCTTCAAGCATGAGGAAAAAAGTGAGAAAAACTGATTATTTGAGGGAATTTTCTAAGTCAAAGGACCATAACTCTGCGCAAAATCATCAGACCTGAACAAAATTCGAACTTGATCTGTAACTTGTCATGATAAAACAATACACCAAATATCAAATCAATATCTTTAAGCACAAAGAAAAAAGTGTGGAAAACTGATTTGCCGTACTGACGGATGTACAGACAGCTGGACGGAGTGCAAACCTAAAGTCCCCTTCAACTAAAAATATCCCCTAAATATTCAAATTCAGCTGAAAAAAGTTTGTAAGTGTTATGATCTGAGATTTTCTTCTCCAATGCAGGTCATCAATGTAGGTCATGACCTGCATTTTCATTTTCAGAGGTTGACAGGTATGCCTGTTTTCATAAGCAAATTCTAAAAAGGACAAAATTAAGATAAATCATTTCGGTTTAAAATATTGCCAATATTTTTTATTTATATTTCTTGGAAAATATATTTATATCAGCAGCAATAACAAAGCATAATATTTCTATTCTTTTTTTTCTGGAAAATTTGAAAAAAATCAGACTGTCAGATCTGTAAACCATTAAATTAAAAACCCTTGCCTAATAAACTTAAATGTTAGCATACTGTTTTAGTCAATATTAACATTAAGTCAGTGTAAGCATTTTATAGTAGTCAATGTTTAATAGCATATCCAGTTTAGCATTCTAAACTACCAATCAACACAAAGAGTTAATACCAGTTCATATAAAGCATTTCGCAACAATTAATAATATTAATGTTACTGTGAATTTTTGCAAATTTGAGCATTTTGCACAAGTCAATGTTGATATTTGTGCGAGAAAATATTAACATTATTTATTTGTCATCAGGTCAATTTAGACATTATGCGCTTTTCAATATTTGTATATTTCTGGCCAATCAATGAAACATTTAGTACCAGTCAATGTAAGCAGCAATAAAACATTTAGTAACATTACACAGATCTAGTAACATTACATACCAGATATTTGTTTACTGCTTCCTGATTGTTCTGAACAAAAATAATTCTAAACTTTACACATACTTTGTTATAATTCTTTTTTACCTTGTTAGAAAATTTACAGCAACAAAAAAGTCATTTTAAGGATGTTCGCTACTCTGTTTCAAAATGACAAGCTTTTTAAAAGACTGTTATAAATTGATAGTATATAAATAAAGGAACTAAAAAGCAGACAAAAATGAAGGGTCCGTGTGCTTGTTAACAAGATATAAGCCATTGAAAATTTGGCAGGAAGTGATTCTCTCTAGATTTTTCATACATTTAACATTGGCACCTTTTTTCTTTCAAAAACTATGAAAAAATAACAATGATTTTATAAGATTTTCAAAGATGACATTTTAAACTATATGTAAATCAAATTATGGAAAGAAAAGTAGGGGTTAGTGGGCAAAATTTTTAATGGCACTACATGCATGGATAAAACCAGAGGATTCCGAATATCTGGCAAAAATTCAAAAACAAGAGGAGCGAACATCCTTAAATGCAAAATTCATCAATATTTGTGTAGGATAGACATACACGATTCTACCTGGAGCCAAATTCCAAGGGACATAACTGCATAAAAAGAAGGTCATCCCAAACAAAACCACAGCTTAATCAGTTACTATTCATTATATTTGTACATGTAATACAGCTCAATATCATTTGGGTATTCATGGAAAAAATATATGGGAGAATTGTTTTTTTTTACTATGGGTAATCTATAAATCTATTACAAATGAAATAAAAATTATGGGTGATGGGTATAAAAAAGGCATTGTCTCCCCTCCCCCACACCCCACACACATACATTTTTTCCTGGAATAGCCCTTAAGCTAAATAAATATTTCTATCCAACTATTGCAACTTTGAGTGTCAGAAAATGGACAGAAAGGATGGACACACATGGTATTACTTAATGCCCGAAACACTGCAAAAGCATAAAAATGGCATACTTTATATCATTTGCTATAGCTAACATATAATCCTGCAATGGGAGTTCGTATTATTGCTTTATTGATACTCGTCCAGTCACATTATTTGCATTAATAAAAACCACACAATAATTTTTGAATTTACAGTACCTGAAACCATAATGAATATTGAATAGAAATACTCAGTTAATGCTTTCTAAAAAAAATTTTGCTTTATATGAAGTGATTGTCATGTCATTATACATTTATATTGGAAGCAAAGATGTTGGTATAGAAAACAGAGCTACCCACCTTCATACAAATTTAAAGTGTGATGTGAATTTCATTGAGGATTAATGACAAAAAAGAATTAAAACATTCAGAGGAATTTGTGTTTCTATTTGCAGTATTCATAAACAGAATCCATTGGAACTCAGCTGTTTCTTAAAATCTGGATAAGTCATGGTGTCTGTAAACAGCCGATGTAAACTATTTATTCTGACATTTATAAAAAGCAAAATAATGAAACACGAAAAACATGATTTAACACATGATCTCAGATGACCCCAACCTCTGATATGTCGTATAAATATGTGGGTTCCTTCTGACTTCGACCTACTGACAAGCGATTGAAATTGCATTTTAAGAACTATTTTGTGGAGTTGGATGATAAAAAATCTAGAATTACTTCATTTCAGGGATGGCTTAGGAAAACAGAATGGTTGAAAGTTTTAAAAGTTTACCTGTTCCTGTTTTCATGGATGTTGGTTGAGAATGGCGAGCTGCTACGTGTCCATCCACATCATCAAACACTTCCTTGGCCTCTTCTAGGGTATTCTGTCCTACTTTAGGGGAAGTCCCAGTAGTGTTCATTGTCGACTCCATAGAATCCATTAAAGAAACTAAAAAACATAGATCAAAGACTCAAATGGATGGGTTGCAAAGAATGTTTCTTAAACAACAGAGAATGTTCTATACTGAACAATTAAATATTTCAAAAATTCCTCAAACAATTCTATAATAGCAGGTGCACAACTTCAACATGTGTGCAATCTTCCTGTGAAGTTTCTGGGATTTGGGTTGAAAACTGTAGGAGGAGTTGATTACACAAAGTTTATACCTTTTTTAATAAATTTTGCTGAAAAACCAGAATTTTTGCTTCAGCTTGTACAATTTTTGTGAAATGAGTCATTGAGATCACGGAAATATAAAAACCAATCTACTTATATTTAAGAAATAATTCATGGAAGCCATAGATTTGTTGGACATTTACACATGGCCTGTGCCGTGATATTGGAATTTTATCCTGAGCGTTATTGGAAAACATTCAGCTTTAGAGTTTTCCTTTGTATTACGTCATGTTATGACATGACGTTAATGCGCCAAGATCATTCATAAAATTTGGCGGAATTTTATTTTATTTTGATTTTATACATTTTTTAAGCTCTTGTGCATTAATTATTTTTGTTATGCCAAATAATAGGAATAACGGTTCTGTAGTTTCTTTTTCAATTTCAATTTGGACACAACGAAATCGACATAGTGTTTGCACATAGGTTATGATACATGTGGATTTAAGTGGGAGGTAAATAGTAACAGCCACCAATATGCACATCTCTGAGTCTGCACTAAGTATAGACATATCGAGAATTTTATCACGGTGTTGTTTACAAAGCGAAAGAAGCACGTCATATTAGAATGTAAATTTAACAATACATAAAACCTACCTTTAGATAACATACTTGGCTTCTGATTAGATGTACCCTGGAATATAAAACAAAACTCAATTTTCGACTGCAATAAAAGTGCTGTGTCTCTGATTTTGATTTTGGCAAAGTTGATTGTGTGTCATGAATTAATACACCACATTTCTTTTTCATTCCATTACAGAGTTTGTCTCCCTTGTTGTGTGGAGGTTGTAGAAAGATTCCCTGTGTATACAGAATTAACAACTTAAGACTTTTCCTATGATACTCAAAATAAACTGTCCTGGTAGTATTACATAGTAAGCAAGCATATTTTGACCCTGCTTTCAAAATTATGAGCCATCCTTTTTATCCTTATTCTAGTTAGTGGTCATCCTATTCTTAGCTGTACTGTGCAGTTTTTATAAAGTTTAATTTTACGACATATGGTGTAGGTTGGTGAAGGGGAGGGTTGTGGGATAATACAATTAATTCAACCGACCATATTTTGCACATGCACATATTTTCTGGACCTTGTGTTGTTCATTGTTGTCTGTGTTTTTTAGGAGTTAGGTGTTGGTAGTCTGTGAAACTGTCAAGTATTTTTGATGATTCCTGTTACCCTTTTTATAAATTACATCCCTGTTTATTTAAATAAAAACCTACCTCTGTTCTCTCTGACATTTCTCTGTATGTTTGAGGTCTGTTTACCACTTCATCCTCCTCAATATCCTCAAGGGCTGCCAGTGTTGCAGCCCCCCTTGCTGGCCCTTCTGGTGATAATGTGTTCCCTGTAGTCCCACTCAGATCTTGGTTCAATCTTCCATAATCTACAGTACCTTCACGTTCCATATCCTATAACCATGATAAAAGTCATCAATATAAATCAGTTCATGATTTCCAAATTATTAATTTAAGTCAGATAATCACTGTACAGTTCTTCAATTACTTAGGTTTTTTAATCATGAAAAGTGTATTGTGTTAAATGACAAATATTTAAGGGTTATTTTCTTGAGCATGGTATTGAAACCTATTTTCTGTTTTTGGTAATCACAATTTCTATCTATTGTGGGTCTCCAAGAATTTGTGAAAATCATCTTTCAAGGGCAATAACTCCTATAAGGGTTCAATTGATGATTTTTGCAATGTTGACTTATTAGTAGATTCAATGGCAACAACTTCCTTAAGGGTTCTTAATGACTTAATTGAAGATCTTAATTTGATGAACATTTTTCCTATGGAAAAATTCTCTCCATCTTCTATATAGTATCTGCAAAAAAGGGTAAAAATCAAAATTCAAAAGCAATAACTTCTATGAAGGTCAATGGACGATTTTTCATGTTAACTTATTTATAGATCTTAATGTTTTGGTCATTTTTACTGTTAAAAACTTCTCTCTATCTATTATAGTTTTCAAAATAATAATCAAAATCATTTGAAACTTGCTAAAAGTTCACATAAAGAATTCAGTAATGGTCAAACCCTATTAAAGTCGGCAAAAACCATAGGTCTTTCTTTTCCCAATTAAAATAAGGATGTTGTACACCGATTTTACGAAAGGTAAGAATGAGCCCAAAGTAACTTGCACAAAAGGCCTTAAAATTTCATTACTGGAAGACAACTTCATACAGTTTGGACTAGGTAAACTTACTTTAACATTGTTTTGGGATTTAAATCCCTTAACTTAAACGTGCCTAACAATCCACAATCTGGTTGTATTTATTTCATACTACTCTCCACCGTTACTGATAAATTTTAAAATACCTTGAAAAATTTCTCTTTTTCTGCGATTTCATCAAGTGTATCAAAACCTGGCTTTCCTGAAAACAAATTATTCAAAAGTGCAAATAAACATGACAAAAAAACTAAAAATTTTATGACATGTATAAACAAATTTTCATATTCATATATAAAAAGAAAGACGAATTATGAATATAATAATATTCATCCAGCTCACAACTTTTTAAATTGTAATCAAAAATCCAAATCAAACCAGATAGAATGCATCTTTAAATTTTTCCATTGATGAATGATGAGCAAAGTTTGAACAGTAAATTAAAATACATTGGAACTATCAAAATTGGAATTTAAAAAAAAATACATTCTGTGGTATAATTTTTTTCAATATTTGGATTATTTTTTTTGGATTTCATTTAAAAATGACAGTGTTGATAACAAAATTGACACATGAAGCTTAAGTCTGCATTCATTTGGTCACAATTAATTAATGAACCTTTTCAACTTCACTATCACCTGATAAATATTTCTTATTACTCAAAACTCTATGACGTCCCCCCCAAAAAAACAGGGAATAAAGTATGTCAATATCTTACCTGTACCATTCCTGGACCCATAACTGCTGTCATTCTTAAGGTGAATCTTCCTGAAATTTTAAAATGAAATACAGATAAAATTGTACTATTTCTGAAACATGACCACATAAACCTGTGTTACACATACATCACTTTCACTACCTAAGATGTAAGATTAAAGATTTTTCACATATTCATGCATTGAACGTTCATATTTTCAATCTTTTATACTTTTGTCATTCTAAATTTTTGGTGATGAGCATACCTGATGATTTTTATTCCAGATATACAAGAAAAAAGTTCGAGTTTCAACCCTGAATAAAATTGAATGTTTTGTGTTTAAATTAATATAAAAAAACAAAGAATTTAAGCAACATTTTGTAGAGAATGTATCAAAGATTTCACTTAGGCCACCAAAAAAATATACTAGGTTCTCAGGCCCAGACGCATCCCTAAAAACACACCTGCGTAGACAATTTTTATTTTCTTCAAAATCCGGAATTTTTTCATATCCTGTCTGATATTGAATTTATGTTTATGAATAACTTAACAGAGTCATCTGTGCGCTTGAAAAAAATGTAAAAGTTATGTTTCTATTAAGGCTGTTAATTAACATTGACTAGACATCGTAGAGTGGAGCGATATGACTTTAATTTCTTGCCAAATCTCACATACGAGCAAAGTTTTGATGCCATGGTGCATCATATTCAATTTTTCCTCAGAATGTAACTTATATCTAGACAGCTGAAGTAGTGGATTTGATGAAATTTCTCAACAAAAAAAGAAAGACAACTTTCTTCTTCTGAAAAAAAAAGGGCCTCCCTCCCTCATCCATATTTTAAAAAAGTGGCCTGAGAACCTAGGCATTTTTTTCTTGTCTAAATGTAAGCAAGTTGTAAAATTGATAAATAACACTAACCTGTCCTTTTGGCTCTCTTCTTCAGATTTCTCAGAAACTGAAAAAAAATCAAACATATAGATAAATATATCAGTTTATATACATATAGTTTTAAGACAACTGTTATCCAAACCCATTTAAAAATTCATTCCATAAAATGGTTTAACTCTAAAAACAGAACATTTATCATTATTCAGGATCAATTGGCACATCTAGTTATATTAAGTATTATCTTCAATTTATAATTTTAATTTTTTATGGAAGTAAATAATTTTTCTTTAGTATCTGTGCAGTACAGTATATTTCACAAAATGTTCATACAATGCAAAGGAATTCATTCAAATTTCCCTGAGGAAACAGGTCTAAATAATCCTTTTTTTTTAGCATGCTTTTTTGTCACCAGGAAGGAAATCCTAAAAGAATTGAGAAATGATTCATGTGCTTTTTTGTTTTGCATGGGACATTGACATTATTAAAGAAATGATGCATTTTTATATCCTATATTTGATGACTGATTTTACTGTTCAGCAAACATGATTAGCATTTTCTAGTTTATTTTTACCAGCTTTATATTTAAATGCTGTGGATTAATTTACTTCCATGTGTACCAATATTCATTGTATGAAGAAAACTAGAATTTTCAAGAAAACTTAGTTTCCTGTTTTTCACAATGGAGGATTTAAGCTTATTACCCTGTTCTCAGAGATTATAAATTTCTTGATCTCCTCACCTACGATCGGAAATTCACAAAAATAAGTTCCCCATAAATGATAATAAATCCACAGTATACATTTTCAAAATGGCCGCAGCAAAAATCAATTGACTTCTGAGGGTTTCTGGGAAAAGACAGACATAGCATGTGTAATGATGGGGAAAGTTGACAGTTAATCCTATTAATATTTTCTATTAGAAAACTTATTAATTCTTACATTTTCTTCTTTGATGCCAAGTAAAGTATTTTATTACATTATGGAAAAGAAAGAATTTAATGCATACATTCATGACAAAATTACTACATGTACAATCAAAAACTTAAAGCATATCAAAATCAAACCAAATTTTTATCAATATTACATACTATCTTCTAAGCTGTCTTTACTCATTGATGCATCTGCTTTACCTCTAGGACCTCTTGTTTTTGTCTAAAAATAGAAAAGAAATTCACTCCATTATATACAGATCCATTCTAATAAACAATATTTGTTTTTTCTGTGCTGAGATCAAAGAAAATTTGTGTATGCCCTCTTACAATCTTCTCACATCACTCATCCTTACCCATCAGATACAGAATTGTATACATTAGCAAGACAATTATTAACTTAGATGGAAATTCATTTACTATGAACTGATTCCTTAATGGAGTTCTGATTCTTTAATTGCTGATAATATTCCATGTTGACAAGTATTAATCAAATATTAAAAGTTTATAAATATTAAGGATGTTCGCTTGTCATGTTTTGGAATTTTTGTCAGATTTTCGGAATCCTCTGGTTTTATCCATTTGAATGCCTTAAAAAATTTTGCCCACTAACCCCCATTTTTCTTTTTATAAATCTTTTACATGTATAATCATAAGCCATCTGTAAAAGTTTTATAAAATTTTTGTTAATTTTTAATAGTTTTTGAGAACTTAAACTTGTCAATGATAAAGCTATGAAAAATCAAGAGAGAATATTTTCCCGCCAATATTTCAATGGCTAATATCTTGAAAATAAGCACACGGACCTATACTTTTTTTTCACTCTTTTGGTTCCTTTAATAGTCCCCTATCAATATATACTAGAGCTATGAAAAGCTTGTTATTTTGAAACTGAGTAGCGAACTTCCTTAACATGATTAAAAACCAATCTAACAAATTAAAAATACTACACAACGTACTTCGGGTAACAAAATTCTTAATTGCCTGAAACAAAAACAGAACAAACTGTGGATGATAAAAATAAGAGGAATAATATCGTAATTTATTAAATCATAGCAAAAAAAGTCAAGAGAAAACATGGAATATCTAAACTAAATAATAACTGAAATATAAAAAAAAAATACAAATAAAAAGTAATGCAGAAAGATGTCTTGTCTGTTTTTCACCATAATTAAAATTATAAAGTGTGATGTACATCCATATGACATGTAATAGATAATTCTATTTGGATCAACTAAATTATGATACATTTTGTATTTTATTTTAGGGAAGTTGTAAAAACAAATCCATGTCTTGAACAAATGTGATTGATAACAACATGCAGGTTAGGACATGCTGTGGAGATAGAATCATGAACAAAGATGTGTGAATGTTACATAAATGTGTCATGAATAAATACCGTAACTACTTTTCATGAGTCCAGAGATTTAAGATATCTTCCACAATTGTGAGAAGAAAACATCACAAGATCTTATAAATTTCTAAATGACTGCAGTGACTTGTAAAGTTTTGAAAATCTTTTTAATTTAGCAAAGTAAAAATCTTCCAGTCAGATAATCTTTAAAAATAGTGTGGTTAAAATTTAGAACTGTCACATGTACTGCTGATAATGTGCCTGGCTTACTGTGGGGCTAAGATGTAGGATCATCACATGTACATGTATGTCTGGAAATGCAAAAGGCTTTCTATATACGTAAGCATCTTACAAAAACAAAAGTCTTAGTATCAAGTATTATTGACCCTCTCATTCATTTTGTCATTTTGTCATTTTAATATCAAATCTCGAGTATATTAAGCATCACATCATTAGAGATCAAATTACATAAGCAATTATATGTATCTATATAGAAATATATATATTAAGACAGAATTGTGCAATATGAAGCATAAATAGTGAGTAATAAGATTTCATAAAAAGATTTAAAGTAGGCTGTGATATACACAACCATAACTTTTACAATGGTGCCTAGAGATGAAGCTGTAGATGGTTAAATTGTCAGTGACTGGCCAGACATACCTAACCACGAGCAATACAGCCTCATGTATGGAATATCAAAGTAAAGCTTATTGTTACAGATTTAAATCTTTAAAGGGATAAAATTGAAATACAATTATCCGCCTTAATTATTAAGTTTTCCTTAATATTCTACATGCTCTCTGAGAAGTCTTTATATTGCAAACACGTTTAGAAATAATTCAATAAATGTGTGGTAAAGATAAGATGTCTTTATTTATGTTTATGATATAAAAAAGAAGATGTGGTATGATTGCCAATGAGACAACTCTCCACAAGAGACCAAATGACACAGAATTTAACAACTATAGGTCACCGTACAGCCTTCAACAATGAGCAAAGCCCATACCGCACAGTAAGCTATAAAAGACTATGTTTATGACTATTCATAGTCATGAGGATGGTTATTTAAGACAAATGGCAATCTTCATTTTTTATTAGTTGATGCTTATGGCAGAGGAAAAGAGAGCTTTGATACATGGCCTATCTAATGAAACATGTGATGGATACAATGACATTGTTTTCATATTTTCAATGAAATTGATCTTTTTTTAATAAAGAAATCACCCTCATGACTGTAAGAAATTTTATGAATCATACATTCTATGGTAGAGAAAAATATGATATTTTTTTATTCATTTTATCAAGTTGGATGCTCCATATTTCAGTTTTGTAACTTTAAATAAAACAAAATCAACGTAAGAAATTCATGAGTGTTTAATGCTGATGGTAGAGAAAAAGAGAAGTTATATATATTACTCATGAAAGATAGAAGATAAATATGTAGTAGAAATGTAACTGATTTAACTCCCTAAGTTTGATCATCCTTGCCTGATGTCAGAGACATTACGCTGTATGATAATCGTCAAGCCTCATGTTGATACAATTAGCGAAAAAGTCTTAACAATGCTTAAGGAACAATACTCTTTTACCTCTTTGTTAACATGATGTCCGTGACCTATAGTTAACTTCTTCCTCATTTGGTGTCTGGGGCGAGTTGTCTTATTGGCAATCATACCACATCTTCTTATTTTTATATCAACCTCAACACACACATTTTACACTTATTGCACTTTTATGGCTTGACTGTGGGCTTCTAAAGCAGTTGGTTAAAATTTCAGACCAGTTGAACAGTTTGGTTTGATAAAACAAATTGCAATTTAGTCAGAATTTTGAATAAACTGCAATAGGTGGAGAGCAACACTTACAGTCAAGTCACAGTAACATTTCCGTGACATGACTGAAAGAGATTAAAAGTTGTTGATTTGAGATCTTAAAAAAGACTAGTTTAACCTGGTCACATGTTTATGAGCCTTCCCAAGTCTGGAATCTTGTCATTACATGTGCTTTTTTTTTGTAACATCTTAATGTGTTTTTATTTTGAAGAATTTTTTTTTTGATAGATGATCTTGGATGATACATTTTTTTGTATTTTAGATAAATTCACAGCTTTTATCAACACTGGGTGATTAAGACAATAGATTTATATTGTATACATGTAGGTACATCTTAAGTTGAAACCCTATTTTGAACTGTAGAAATCATTAGATTTTTGGATGTTGCTGGGTTGCTGTCTCATTGATTTATGCCTCACTACATCTTTTATTCATATGCAAATGTAACTGGCAGGGCAAGGGTTGTGAATGTACTTTACAGAAGATTGAAATTTTGAAAGAAAAAAATCACAGTCTTTGCACATGTATCCCATTGATATAAAACAATTGTCTTTGCCATCAGGTTTGGAAGATGTATACACTTAGTCATCATCACCATGAAAATACCTACATTTGACAACAGTACACACACTAGTACTGAACAATGAGATTCAGGTAAAAATCAATCCAGGTGTGAATGCCAGTGTTAGTGGGTGATTGACCTGTATTTTCTCCGTTTAAGTTATACACAAATGTATATGACAGAGTAGTAAGTTAGAGTACAATCACCTTCAAACACAAGCAATCACCCTGATTTTACAACAACAGTGATTTTTGGCTGAATTTATTGGAAAAGGATTAGCCAATCAGAGATCTGAAAACTTCTGGATTTGAGATATCGACCCTGTCTTACAATCAAGATCTAATTCAATGAATGAACTTTTCATGGTTAATTTGAACTAAGTGTTGATAAGAAAGAATAAGATATGATATGATAAGTCAGTGTACTACTTGCCTTGAAATATGGTTTCTGGAAGAAACAGCATAAAACTAAATATCAAATGCTTCAAATAAAAACTATTGTGCTAAACTATGTAAACACTTACCACTAAAATAAACAAATCACAATATCATTGTTCTATAAAATGTAGGACTCTGAGGTATGATGGGGATGCTGAAGTGCAATGGTCTGCGCTAAAGTGTGATGGTTTGTCCGCTGAAGTAAGATGGTCTATATGACCTAACTTACAGTTTTGTAAAAGAGAGATTGTCCTTTTTAATTTTGCTGAATGTAGACATATTTCTACGTTAACAGTTCATCTTTAGTTTGTTCCTCTCATGAGTTCTTCGTTTACCGTAATATTATAAAATGGAGACTCTGTCTGCGGATTAGTATGTATTTATAGTACACCATGCTCCATCGTAAATAAAAAAAAAACTACTGTCGATTTCGAAAATTAAAGAATCAGCTAAAGTTGCATTTCAAACAAAGACCTCATTTTTCAGTCATTGAAATTAGTACTGGTTTTAATGGAAAATAACCTTTGTCAGTAGCGTTAACCTATTGTATGAATGTTGGATTATTTTTGTTGTTACATTTAGGACTGGAAATGCAATGACTATTTATTATGACTGTTTTAATTTAAACGAGTTAAACTCTCGATGATTTACTTTAAAACCTGAAAAGCTGCTTCTTGCAAACAAATTTACTTCGAACTACATCGACATGTGAACATGAAAAACATTGAAAATATAAGTTATGTAATCCATATTGCACTTCAGCTTTACCATGTTTACCCCCAACATACTTCAGGTACTAATCAACAAGACAGCATCACAATGCCATCATCGCACTCAAGTGTGATCAAAAACGCATTTCAGCATCAAGCCATTGCACTTTAGCGTGACCATTGCTGTTCTGAGTCCTTTCAACAATTAATGTCTGATCAGTGATGCTCAAGATATTTCAAGGCTCACAAACCTAGGGTATATATCATGTATATACAAGTCATTTACTATCATGATCACAAGACAAAAATTGTTAAAAGCGGTCAATAAAAAATGATTTCTAGAAATGAATAACTCAAACATAATTTGTTTTCTATTAAAAAAATGAAGTAGCAGCTAATACATGTACCATGATAATACAACAATTCTCTACCTAATAAAATATTTACTACATAAAGTCCTCTTTCATTAAATTTTAATAAATTTACCTCTTTTTTTGTTTTGGCTTTTTGTTTATCATTTGCTTCTATAGGAGATGGCTTATCTCCCCCTAAGGAACTCTTCAGTGGTGTTGGTCTATCATCACGGATAGGTGTACTGTGTTCTGGTTCAGGCTGTTTCTTCTTTAGAAAACTTTTACCAGTACCTGTAAATATACTCATGTTATTCTGTGTATGAAAAGACCATTGAAAATACAATTTCCAGCTAGTGGAGAGTTGAGTGCTCACAAATATGTTTAACCACTATTTTTTTTATGTGCCTGTTTCCTGTAAGCACCCTGTTATTTAGTTTCATTGGTTGATGTCTGCAATATACATTGTATTTTTAGTTTATTGTATGAGCATTTTAGACAGTTGCTTTTTCCACATTTTAAGCCACAATCATTGTGTCTCAGAACTCACTTAAGGATAGCTGCCTCATTGGCAAATATACCACATCACCTTATTTTTTCACATTTATACAATGTTCATATATCAAATGCATATAATTTCAAATAAAGTGACATCCTGAACATGCATGAAATTTTTACCGCTGGATATATTATAAAAGCATGAAAAGCGAACAAAAGTCATTAAAATGAAGTGTCGTGACTTGTTTAGCATGTTTCAACAATTTTTAAATTAACATTATCCAATTGTTGTCTCAGAAGGCAAAATGTTGATTAAAGTTATATATATGCTAAGATAAATGGGGAATGTGTCCATAGGACACAGATGATGTCCCGGCTTGCATATCATATAAAGTTATAAAGGGACATAACTGAAGAACGGTAAAAGTGACACTACCCAAATTTGTACTTGATCTGAGTTTAGTGGTAATAAGTATTGTGTATAAGTTTCATAACATTTGGTTGCCGCAAACTTAAGTTAGAGAACGGAAACAAAAAATTCAGCAATTTTTCCATTTGTAAAGGGGCATAACTCTAGAACGGTTAAAGTGACACCACCAAAATTCAAACTTCATCTGTGTTTTGTGGTAATAAGTATTGCAAATAAGTTTCATAACATTTAGTCGAGGCAAACTAAAGTTAGAGAACGGAAACCAACTTTGGGACGTACGGACGGACGTACAGACGGACAAGGGTAAAACTTAATGCCCCCTCCGCTACAGCCAGGGCATGGCGGGGGCATAAAAAGGGAGTTAAAAATCATCTCGCAAACCTGACATAATATGTGAAAGGAAAAAGGAGAAGAAATTCTATTCAAAAGAAAAAAAAACAAAAGAAAAAACACAAACCTGTTCCGATAATGTCATCATCATCGTCCTGCATCCACCAAGGGACATCACCCTTCTTTTTCTTTTTAGGTTCAAGATACTTGTTAATTCTTGATGAACTGATTGATTCTTCCGATGAAACAGACTACAATACATGTATTTAATTAGACTGAAAACACTGTTTGATTTGCCTGTTTTGTAATATTATATATTGATTAAACCCCTTAAAATTCTAGTTGAAACCTGTACTTCAGTACATGGTATAAACTTTTAATTTTGCTTCTTGTGAGTCTGTAGGGTGCAAACTTAACAGTCATTGACAGTATACATGGTTTATCGTAATATAAAATATTTCCTTTATCTATTAGAATTTTTTTCAGTATGCATGCATGAAATCATTGGACATTTAACGAACTGTCAATACTGTACTGTGATCTTAGCTATAGGATCACAGTGCAAAAAATCTTAAGCATGTTAAGGCTGAAATCAAACCTAGAGAAAATTTCATGAAATTAAAGTATGTCACGAACTGATGAATTTGTTAACAAAATATTCGATTATTGGTTTAATGAGTTTGTCAAACTGAAACTAAAAGTGTTAGGTTGCGCTGACACACCAGAGTGGCAGACTGCTCCATATACATGTACATGATACATGTATATCATGTATATCAAGTGTGTCTATTTTAAAACTGCACATTATTATCCTCAAGGTGTCATTTAGTTTATTTATTACTGTTTGGATGCTACATTTTATTGATATTTATCTCATACATGTCATATTTGTTCATATAAGTCAAGAGTCCTTCAGTGATAGTGTTACTTACATCTCTCAGGAAAGCATCAAACTGTTCATCAAACTCTTTCTTTGACATTTTTCTTGCCATCTTGGCTACTGTTTTCTGTTAATTTCTGTACAATGATGTATAACAAAGTATTAAAACAATGTTTCTTTAAATAAAGCTAAATCAGTTAAACTTTTTTAAAAAATTTCACTACACATGCATGCTTTGGTAAAAGTCGATGTATCATACATATACTATATAATTATTTTTGGACGAAAGACAGGCCATACTGGTAAATTAGATAGTCTTTAAAAAGTATTTCATGCCAAGAGATTACATATTAAATCTTATCATAATCTAGGCCATATTAAGTAAATAGATGATTCATTAAGTGTAATAAGGGGATTTTTAAATTGGCACATATCCATCCATAACTGGCATAAGTGCATAATTTTATTAGTTACATTTATGTTAGGAAGGTCTATATTTATATTTCATATGGCATTTTAATAAACTTTACTTAATATACATTTTTTTTTAATTAAGAAAGAATATGCAAAGGATGAAAAAAACAGAATTTAACTGTTTGTTTACAAACATGTTGTCACCTGTCAACAGGTTAAAGGAATCACACATACTAAAGTTTATACGGATCTTACCTATCGCGACACTTCTAGATAAGAAAACACAAATTTAGGGAATATTACAAAATCCTCCATAAAGATATGTTCCTTTTTGATACCAATAACATCCAAATTAACAAATCAAAATCAAACCGAAAGAATTTCCGCCATGACACCTTTTTATAATTCCAACATTGAAGAGTGATAACTAATCCAAATACCGAAAAGTTGAAATGAATAAGCATGTACACTTAAACGGGACTCTATATATTATATATAAAAATACGGAAACATCTCATTCAATTTCTGTACGTCGAAGATAATTTATGAATCCGGGTCCAGGGTCCGTTCTCCCAAAATCACGTTCGCTCCCATTCTTGTTCGCCCTCTTCCTCGTTCGCACCCCACACGTTCGCACCAGAGACATATAATACTATATACTATACTTGTATTATATGTCTCTGTTCGCACCGACCTTTTTAAAGGTTTTGTGTTGAACTGTGACTACTATAAGTTATAGTAGTCTCAGTGTTGAATAAGTTTTTAATCGTGCTTTAGTTAGTGTATTTTTCTAAGGATTTGTATATTACTATACAAAAGGCCTTTGAAAATAGTGGAATTAACTACTTTTGGAGTGTCAAAAACTCGTTGGAAGTACTTGATAAATTGCATGCATATATTGGTGATTCTGAATCTGTTCAAAGTTTTGATTTTTCTACCCTATATACCACTTTGCCTCATATTCTTATTAAGAAAAAATTCACACACCTAATTAAATGGGCATTTAAAAAGTCGGAATGCGAATACATATGTTCAAACTCTTTTAGGTCATTTTTTAGTAGCAACAAACAAAAGAGCTATGTCAATTGGACATGCTTTGATACTATATCTGCCCTTGAATTTTTACTTGATTACATTTTTGTTCGCTTTGGAGATTCCGTATATCGTCAAGTTATCGGAATTCCAATGGGGACTAACTGTGCACCACTTATTGCGGACCTGTTTTTGTAGTGTTATGAGTTACAATTTATGACTAAAATCAGCAAAGACCCATCGAAACAACATCTGATACAAAAATTTAACAATACTTTAGATATTTGGATGATATATTGGCTCTCAATAATGACAACTTCAGTATGTATACTAAAGAAATTTATCCTGTTGAACTTACTTTAAATAAAGCTAATACTAACAATGACCACTGTCCTTTCCTCGATCTTGATATCTATATCATTAACGGGAAGCTTAATACAAAAATTTATGATAAAAGAGATGATTTTTCATTTCCTATCGTTAATTATCCATTTTTAGATGGTGACGTTCCCTTGTCACCATCTTATGGTGTTTGTATATCTCAACTTGTACGATTCGCTCGTGTATGTAACAACGTATTAGATTTTAGCGAGAGAAATTTATATATTACTGAAAAATTATTACACCAGGGTTTTCGATATCATAAACTAGTCAAAACATTTACTAAATTTTATCATCGGTATAAGGACATCATTCGTAAATATAACTCAACATGCAGACATCTTATACGTTCGGGTATTTCACATCCAATCTTTTATGGTAATATTCTTTACAAAGCACAAAAATGTCAGTATTCACCTCAAAAGCTAACAAAACCTTTAAACAGACTTATTAAGAAGGGATATAGTTACGATACTGTTGTCAGGTCATTAAAGATTGCATATTTTGGCTTTAATATTGATTCACTTATAGGGTCTTTGCATCGGAATTAAACATATTTAATCTAAAACCAGTTGTTGGCATGACACGGGTTATGTTCTTCTCATATATTTTATGACGGTATAATACTAAACCCCTAACAGGAGGGATTGTGCCGGATATTCATATGATGAAGACATAATCTTTCAATCAGTCTAATTGAGGTCTGGAGCTGGCATGTCAGTAACTGCTAGTAGTCTGTTGTTATTTATGTATTATTGTCATTTTGTTTATTTTTTTTTTGTTTCCTATTCTGACATCGGACTCGGACTTCTCTTAAACTGAGTTTTACTGTGCGTACTGTTGTACGTTTGTTTTTCTACATTGGCTAGAGGTATAGGGGGAGGGTTGAGATCTCAAAAAACATGTTTAACCCCGCCGCATTTTTGCGCCTGTCCCAAGTCAGGAGCCTCTGGCCTTTGTTAGTCTTGTATCATTTTTAATTTTAGTTTCTTGTGTATAATTTGGAGTTTAGTATGACGTCCATTATCACTGAACTAGTATACATATTTGTTTAGGGGCCAGCTGAATGACGCCTCCGGGTGCGGGAGTTTCTCGCTGCATTGAAGACCCATTGGTGCACTGCCTTCGGCTGTTGTCTGCTCTATGGTCGGTTTGTTGTCTCTTTGACACATTCCCCATTTCCATTCTCAATTTTAAATCCTTGATTTTTCTAAAGAAAATTAGTTTTTTTTTATTGTTTTAAAATAAAATGAAGTGACATTCTAAAAAGGTTAACAGGTTTTCTTTTATGAACTATTTTGACAAAATGGATAATACCAGAAGTAATGGACTTCTGATAATACATATTATCATGATGATCAAAGACTAATTCATCTATAAAAGAAAGGCAGAAGATTCCAAACGGCTATCAAACTCGTCACAAACTGTTAAAAATAATTATCTTTCATTTTTTTTTCATTAAAAATCTTCATTGTTTTACTACCAAGCTAACTACTTGTATTTTACTTTGCACCAAAAACATAACAATACCAAATTAACTTTGTAAAATTAATACCAATTTAAAACAGTAATCCTAAATAAATCACAATTAATAACTATTCATCTAATCACCAAAAAAATATTTCATTTTCAGAAGAAAATTCACGAATTTTATTTATGAAAATATAAATATTTTGATATATACATCTAAAAAAAACACATCTTCTAATTCAACCGGCATTTAAGAAAATCTATATTTACATTAACAAGATATTTAGCAAATTTTATTTGAAATTTTGATGTCAAAAATGATAAATATCTACATTCAAGACTTAATTGTCTTTCATTATCATATTAAGTGCCCATATTTCACTACAATAAAGTAGTATATATATATATTGGTTTCAAACAACTTTCAAACAGTTTTAAATGAGGATAAAATCAAAACAAAGAAAAATTGTAAAATTGAAAATACGAAATATATATATATATGTGTCCAAACAAAATGTAATAAAAACAACATTAAACTAAACATTTTCTTAAACTATGTTTTGATAAATTTTTTCCTTATATATATCAAAATGATATGCGTCACATCGCCGTAAGGTGATACATGTTCATATCATGCATATCAAGGACGTATAACTAACATCTACGTCCTTGTGCATATTTAACCCGAATAATTCAGTCCCTCCCCGTGATCGACTCTCCCACTCGCGTTAATGTAGCCATCGTAGAGCAGTGGAATATAACGACTGAATTATTCGGGTTAGTGCATATTCAAATATTTTTTGGTGTGTTTGCTATTAGTGTGTCATGGATCCGAAAATATACTGGAGTAGAACATCCATGAATATAACGTATTTTTATGGCGAATTTTTCTGGAAAAATTTAAGTTCTCTCTTAAAAAAGCTTTGAAAATCTGTCACGTCGTTTCATGCCTGTTTCCGAGTATCATATTGATAGGCGTTTTCACAACGAACAGTACAAAAATGTACAACTAACGGTACTAAAGAAAACAAACAAACAACAAAGAAAATGAATCGTACAGTGCCAAAATTATGAGGTCAGTTTTACGAGCCGAGTAAATGTCTGCAAATAAAATAAAACAACGAGTTTCTCATTCGCATTATGTATTTTAAACGTCTGCAAATAAAATGAAACAACGGGTTTCTCATTCGCATTATGTATTTTAAACAACAACAAATCACAAAATACATGGTCGCATTTAGTGTAAGAGCCAACCTACTATGCTGAAGCTAGCGAACAATAACTAGCGAACAATAAGCCAGCGAACAATAAGGCGATATATCTACCAACCGAAAAAAATGAATGAGACAGCAACGGCCGTTAAATGAAAAATATTTAAAAAGGCACACATTCCGTCCAAATATTGCAATTTCAACTCTATCATAAAATGACAGTGATAAAACAAGTCACATCTCTTTTTAGGCTAATATTCAGTACCACAGTAAATCTGCATCTGTCAAGGGAATATTTGTAGGTGTAAGACCACTAATGCACCCACTTCAATTTAGAACGTATGTAAAAGAAGTCCTTCCCTGTAAAATACAGCACCTTTGATGTCATTGTTAAATTGAACTAAGATACACATTTGCAGAAATGGGGGTTGGCCTATTCCATGGCTTCTAGAGAAAAATAATGAGGGGTGTCACGGGGTATGAAACAGGCGCATCTTTTGCGCAAGGTATCGAAGGGCGCTATGTTCAAAAATCTGAAACTAGAGCTCAAATTTTTGAAAAAAAATTGTTAAAAACAAAGGGATTGGTCTATTCCATGGCTTCTAGAGAAAAATAATAAGGGGTGTCACGGGGTATGACTATATAGGTCTTGTAGAGGAGAAACAGGCCCATTTTTTGCGCAAGGTATCGAAGGGCACTATGTTCAAAAATCTGAAACTAGAGCTCAAAATAAAAAAAAAAAATTGTTAAAAACAGGGGGGTTGGTCTATTCCATGGCTTCCAGAGAAAAATAATGAAGGGTGTCCCGGGGTTTGACTATATAGGTCTTGTAGAAGAGAAACAGGCGCATCTTTTGCGCAAGGTACCGAAGGGTGCTATGTTCAAAAATATGAAACTAGAGCTCAAGATTTAAAAAAAAAAATGTTAAAAACCGGGGGGTTGGTCTATTCCATGGCTTCTAGAGAAAAATAATGAGGGGTGTCACGGGGTATGACTATATAGGTCTTGTAGAAGAGAAACAGGCGCATCTTTTGCGCAAGGTATCGAAGGGCGCTATGTTAAAAAATCTGAAACTAGAGCTCAAAATTTTGAAAAAAAATGTTAAAAACAGGGGGGTTGGTCTATTCCATGGCTTCTAGAGAAAAATAATGAGGGGTGTCACGGGGTATGACTATATAGGTCTTGTAGAGGAGAAACAGGAGCATCTTTTGCGCAAGGTATCGAAGGGCGCTATGTTCAAAAATCTGAAACTAGAGCTCAAAATTTAAAAAAAAACAGGGGGGTTGGTCTGTTCCATGGCTTCTAGAGAAA